ACATTTGAAAGATTGCGTGGAGTGCCAGCGGTACAAAGCCACGAATCAGAAGCCAGCAGGACTGATACAAACGCCACCACTACAGCAGAGATTTGAGGTGATAGCTATGGATCTGTTTGGACCCTTACCGGCATCAGAGGATGATCTAAAATGGATTTTTATTGTTGAGGATCCAACGACCAGATGGGTGGAACTCTTCGCGCTCAAAAACGCCACAGCCCAGGAGTGTGCAAAGACTCTTATAGACGAGGTATTTCTACGATTCGGATTTCCAAGGAGGCTCATCAGCGATAACGGTTCCCAGTTTGTCAGCGCCGTTATGCAGCATACTACGCACTGTCTTGGAATCAAACAGCACCTCATCCCAGTATACCACCCACAGGCGAATCCAGTGGAGAGACGCAATCGAGATCTCAAGCCGCAGTTAGCTATCCTGGTAGGCGAAAAACACACCACCTGGCCCGAGAAATTACCAGCAATAAGGTTTGCAATGAACTCGGCCAAATGCAAAAGCACTGGCTACAGCCCAGCTTACCTCAACCTAGCACGTGAACTTAGGACAACGGATGATGTCTACAGGGACCTCAGGGCAATTATCGAAAAAGAAAATCCCATACCGGATATCACCCCCTACCTGCTTGGAATGACCGAAACCTTCAAGCAAGTAAGAGAAACGCATGAGGAACAACAGGACAACCGTAAAAAGTACGCAGACAAACAACGACGACCGGGTCAAGCATACAACTCTGGGGACAGAGTATGGGTAGCCACACATACCCTAAGTAATGCTAAAAGAGGATTTACGTCAAAATTTGCTCCACGTCGCGACGGACCGTATGTCATACTTCAGCAGAGAGGCCCGACAAGCTACGAGGTAGGACGTCCAGATAACACGGATGAGATCATAGGAACATTCCACGTATCTGCCTTAACACCTTTCGTAGGAGATGAAGATACTACACCCGTGATACCGATCAAGAAGCGTGGTCGGCCCAAGAAGAGAGCTACGACCCAATAGAATGTTTCTATGTATGGACTCTTCGCCGAGACGACTGTAGGTCCATAGGGGGAGTCTGTAACATTCTATATTTAATTAGTATTAGTCATGCAACAATTATCATTGTAACAAACATACGTAATGTATTTACAAACATTCGTAATATATTTACAAGCATTCGAAATGTATTTACAAAACATTCGTAATATATTTTCAAACATTCGAAATGTATTTACAAAACATTTCGTAATATATTTACAAAATTCGCTGTACGTAAATATTTTGTCAACAACGCACGAGCATACGCGTGACGTCACCAAAGTGAAAGTTTACACACACAGCTATAAGCGAAGGGTCCTACGCGGAAGCAAGATGCAGCATACAATAGCGCAGGTACAACAAGGATAGAAGATTCTACTACGACTACTCACTATACCGTTAGACCTCAGGCGTACGGACAGAAAGGGATGAAGAACTTATGCAATCTGCGTCATCCGTGTAAGCAAGCGATAAGATGCCTTAATCATACGAGTCAGGATAAGTTAAAGAAAGATAAAAGATTAAGACGATAATACATGCAACTTTGCCCTGTGACTCAAGCGAGGGTGTGAGAAAGATAATCATATGTACACATTCCACAACACCGAAGGAGAAATTTGTCATAGCCAATTATCGATGACCTCAAGCGAGATGAGTTCATCATAGACCAATGACCATCTCATCCCCGAAGATTTTGGCGAGATGAACCGACGAAGAACCCCGAAACGATGCGAAGGAGCTCTCGGACGGACACGAAGGAACCACCACCCTCACCAAAATTCAACCCCACTACGGGAGTAGGAGAAGAAGGAATCGTATAAAAAGCCTAGCAGAATCCGAAAAATTGTCAAAAGTGTTTAGTTCGCCCGCGGCTAAAAGCTTTATGGTTATGATATTTCTCACTGAAATTGTTAACTAGTTGTTACTCAACCCTGACCATCACTTGGGACTTCAATCTAGTATTGAAGTTACAAACGGTCCGGTAAAGTTGTTGTAAAGAATTTTCTCTGAGTTCTTACAACCTGACGCCCGAATCATTTTGCTCTCTCTCCGAGCCGAATTGATTCACCATCCAACGCGCTATTTCTAAGTTAATTCAGTGTCTGTATTATTTTATCGCATTTCTGTGAACCCACGAACAATTTTAATAAAGTTAATAGTTTTATAATTGTGTGTTTCTCATTTTAATAATAAAACCGTTACACTCATGAATTAATTTATCTATCATGGATTAGTCGATTATTTATACAAATCGTGAAGTTCATGTAACTTGCCTCAAGGCAAAATACCAATGCCAACTAGTTATTTTTAACTTCCTTTAGGGTAGTTATAGTAATGGGCCGAAAATCGAAAATATTTTTTTTCCATTTCTCGACGTTTTGAAAGTTTCTGAACATTTTGGCATACCTCAGAAAAAATGGATGTGTGTGTGTGTTTTGTATGTCCGCATTTTTTCGTTCACGTTTTCGGGCGCACGGATCAACCGATTTGAATGGTTCAAAAAACATTCGATTCCTATTCTTAGGGAGATGTTTTTGGCAAAGGCAGGACCAGCCGTTACTGAGATACGGAGCAAAGAGTGCAGAAAATACAAATCGAGTTTTTGAGAGAACGGAATATTCGATTAGAATGATCTGAAAAATATTCAGTTTGTAATGATTGAATTTTGAAATGATTGAGATTTAGCAAAGGCAGATCCAGTCGTTTCGAAGATACAGAGCTAAATTTAAAAAATGGCAGTTTTTGAGAGAACTAAGCGTCCGATTTGATTTATTCAAAGTTCTTTCTGCTTGTTTCAACAAAATAATTGCTTTTGGAAATGAAAAAAAACATTTTTTTAAAAAAAAATTGTTTTTGTATATCGAAAATAATTCAGACTTTAATTTTAATTCTGTTCTAATATACTTTAAATAAATAATTTCAACTTTGCAATTCAGTTTATATAACTTTTATAAATATTAGACAAAGTTACAATATCATTTCGTCACGGTGCGGTAAGTTCCAGCAATTTGCCTTAAGGCACGATGCCATGCACCCCACTAGTTTTGAAAGTTTTTCGTCCACACAAAAATTAGACCTTTCATCGACATTTGCTCAAAACGCCTGAACCGATTTCAGAAATTTAAAAGCCATTTGATGTATCTGGATGAGGATTATCGTTTGTCAGTTTTGTGCGTCGACCTGCCGAGCCGTTTCTTTGTAGTTTGGAAAAAAATGTTAAGCTTCGTCCACATTTAAATTCATGCTACCGAACCGGTAGCTTTTTAAAAAATTAAAAACTGTTTGAAAGATAGTAGTTAGTAGTTAGGAATGATACTGATTAGTTTTAGGTGAAAATCTACCGAGCCGTTTTCTTGTAATTAACTGTTGAAAAAAAATTTAAGTCGATTTTTATGGTACTTTTCTGGCGATATATATCATGGTCTCATAGAACTTACTGAAATATCACGGCCTTACGACTAGCAGTTTAATTTTAAAAATTTATCAAAGTTTGAAAAAATGAGTAGTTTTTTGATGTTTGTTAAAATTAAAATTAGACGATTTATTTGGTATAACGATAGAGTACTTAGTCTTATTGAACATACTAAGCCATTAGTCCTACAGAAACTGGTTCAATTATAAAAATTGCTGATTTTTGAAAATTAGCTTTTAGAAAATACTGCGAGTTAACGTTTTCGTTCGTTTTCAATCATGTGTAATAAATCCACTCGGAATACTTTTAATCAGACATAAATTAATATTTTTTATTGATTATGTCGATTATTTACACATATCGGGAAGTTTTTGTAACTTGCCTCGAGGCAAAATATCAATACCAACTAGTTTACTATTGATTTCACGCTCCGCCCAGAACTTCATTCTAGATTCGTCTGGTTTATTTGGTATATTTTGTATAAATCTGCACCTACATTTTGACGGAAACAACTCCCCAAATAACATTATTTTCCAACGGTCAAATTGACCGACCGCGGTAGTTAGGCCACATAACAATTTTTTTTCGCAAAATAGAAGAAATAATTAAAATCAAAGAGTGAGAAAAATATTATTAGTATGTTTTAAGAATTGTCATATTGGTATTTTAACGTTTAAAAATGTCTAAGACATACACAAAGTTTGAAACTGTCATTTTGACCGGCCTTGGTAGGTTTAGTGTTTATTGTAGGACTAGTAGGTTTAAGAAATATGTAAAAGAAACAAAAACAAAAATAGAAATTTCTAAAATAAATCGATGTAAATACTTAAAGAAAGAATAAGTACTCTAATTATTTGTTAAAAAATTAACTAAGAGTTGTGCAAAGGTTGTGTTCTGATCTTACATTAACACATTCATAAAAATAAGACAAATATCTGCAAACTATCTCTTGAAAGTGAATTTTATATATATATATATATATATATATATATATATATTTATATTTATATTAGGGTGGTCCTTAATATGGACATTTTCGAATTTCCTTGTTCCCAAGGGCTCGAATGGTTCCAAATTGATAAAAAACAATTCTCTGAAAGTTTTTGCTCTTAATATTGTTTTTTAGATAGAGCGCAATTCAATCAAAGTTTTGTATAGAAATAGCATGAAATTTTTTTCAAAAATTATGCAGAGCGTCGAATTTTCAATAAAAAATGATAAAAATTTTCACTTTTAATTCATTTGTCGCTAACGTCTGAATTTTTTTTTTTTTTTAATTTTCAAAATTTTTTTCATGCTATTTCCATACAATGTTTGATTGAATTGAGTTCTATCTAAAAGTTAATACTAAGAGCTAAAACTTTCAGAGATTTGTTTTTGGAACCATTTGAGCCCTTGGGAGCAAGGAAATTCGAAAATGTTCATATTAAGGACCACCCTGATATATATATATATATATATATATATATATATATAATGATCATTTTCTTATTATAATATATGTTTATATATATATATATATATATATATATATATTTTTTTTTTTTTTAGCGTTCCAAGACAGAGAGCTAATATTACAGGCCAATAAAACATCCAATGGTTCGGAAAATATTTTTTAATGCTGGCAGATAAATATTAGTACATACTCTAAATATGATTCAATTTTAAACTCAAAATCAAGTTTAGTTCTGTGCTAATTCGATATTATCCTGATTCACCTTTTGCAAGAAAAAAATGCCCATGTGACAATTTGTTACAAAGTACTTTCAATATCCAATAAATTTAACATTTGTAAATACAAATTGATCTATCAGGTAATTTTAAAATATTGAATTACCATTTGATAATTATTCAAGATACAACCCAAAGTTAATCAATATTTAAAAAGTATATATATATATATATATATATATATATATATATATATATATATATATATATATATATATATATATATATATACTTGGTTGATTCGGTTCATTTTCAATCTAAAATTAGATGGCAGAAGGTGCTGCTGCAATTGATTTGATTATAAATAACTAATATTTCATTTTAATTTGTATTATTAAGCAGGCACTAAATCATTTGATTCGAATTGACACATTACTAGTTGTGATATTAATTTTTGGATTGTTTAAAGTATAAATAAAATTGAGTATTAACTTATATAAGTATTAACTAATAATATAAAATTACAACTAATATAGTAGTACATAAATAATAATGGAAGTAATTCATAAATTAGTTAAGTTATATACAATTCAAATTATATTAATTTATATGAAAAATTATGTGTACCAAATATTTTGTAATTGAGAAATTCACAATTGTAGTAATTTCGCATATGGGTAATGTAATGTATTGTTAATGATCGTGCAGAATTTGGATGAATAAAATATAAAATGGAAATTAATAATTCTATTTTTAAATTATCTAAGCCATTTTTGAGTAAGATTAATGCTTTATTATGATGAAGATTTAAAAATTGTTTGAAGATATTGATTTCTTTTCTCCATCATTTTAACTTCAAATAAAATAAATAACTAATAAGTACTGTGCAATTTCAGAAACATAAATTAGATTTATAATAATGTCGTATGAACAATTTAATATATTATATTGTGCCTTTTCTAAGGCATCAGTTTATTGCAGGTAATTGGACTAGATAGTTTGTCATATTACAATTATTAATTACTAGCTAAATGAAGATTTACCTACTTATATAAATGAATTGAAATTAGTATCTAACTGTTGCATAACATTGGCTTCAAGAATAACTTGAATGTACCAAAGATATGTACGTACTGTACGAAAACATTGATGTAACTGCTGCATTTTTCTTCGATAAACATTCATTTCTGAAACCAGAATTAATTAAATTGTTGATTTGAAAAAATAATGCAAATAAAACATTTATTGCTGTAGTTATAGTTGAATATACCTACTGAATAACTATATCTATAATTTATATCTATATTTCTACCAATACTATTATTTCAGAATTAATCTATATGATTATTACCTTCAGTTGAAAGATGTGTTTTCTTTAATCTTCGATTATACTCCAGTCTTCCATTTTGATAAGCATCGTGTATTACTTGCTCCCAATGGTCCATTTCGTAAACTGGTAAGGCTCGACCAATGGGTATATTAATCAATTTTAAATTATCAATCAATTCAGAAACCTGTGTGAATGTAAAAAGATAATTTTATATATGTCTAAAATTCATTATATACCAATATAAAAAATTTTATACTTAAGTAAAAGAAATCGAAAGTATTTTAAACTGATCTTAAAATGAGTATTGTCATATAATGATTTTCATGTGCTTTGTCTGAAATTCATATATATATATATATATATATATATATATATATATATATATATATTAGGGTGGTCCTTAAAATGGTCATTTTCGAATTTTCTTGCTCCCAGGGGCTCAAATGGTTCCAAATTGATAAAAAACAATTCTCTGAAAATTTTAGCTCTTAATATTAACGTTTAGATAAAGCGCAATTCAATCAAAGTTTGTATGGAAAGAGCATGGAAAATTTTTTGAAAATTAAAAAAAAATGTTTTAAGTATAACTTAGCGACAAATGAATGAGTTTTTTTTATTCATTTGTTCGCTAAATTACATTTAAAAAACATTTTTAAAATTTTTGAAAATTTTTTCATGCTATTTCCATACAAAACTTTGATTGAATTGCGCTCTATCTAAACGTTAATATTAAGAGCTAAAATTTTCAGAGAATTGTTTTTTATCTATTTGGAACCATTTGAGCCCCTGGGAGCAAGGAAATTCGAAAATGACCATTTTAAGGACCACCCTAATATATATATATATATATATTTCAAAGTAACTGGCAGCCCATTCGTCGAAATAAAAATTATATATATATATATATATATATATATATAATGCACACACAAACACTGCATATATATGTCTACATACACATAAAATCATTCTAAAATTAATCGTTTTTAATTAGATTTAAAAAATTTAGATACGAGTCATGAATGATATTATGATCTGATCTTTTATTAACACAACTTGGCGAATTCAAGAAGATTAAACTATTTTCTGAAAAAAGTCTATTAAAAGTGCAATCCTCTATATGAAATATTGGGTTCAAAGACATAGAAATGAGAATTTTCAATGGAATGTTGGACTAGAATGCTTTGAAAACTTCGATTTTTATGGTGAATAACACTTAATTCATGTTGTCTTTTGGATTCATTGTGATGTTTGGCTAATGTATTCTTTATCACAATTTTTGCAAAAGATAAAATTAACAAAAAAATAGTGATATGGATATATAGATCAATATTGCAGGTAAATAAATTTTGTTACACAATTTTATTTTTGATTTACTAGATTTTTTTTTAATTTTTTATTTTTAACTTCCCGTATTATAAGTTATTGTAATGGGCCGAAAATCGGAATTGAAAATTTTTACATTTCTCGACGTTTTGAAGGTTTCTGAACATTTTGACATACTTCAGAAAAAATAGATGTGTGTGTGTGTGTGTGTGTGTGTGTGAGTATGTATGTATGGATACAAATTTTCGCCCACATTTTCGGGCGTACGGATCAACCGATTTGAATGGTTCAAAAAACATTCGATTCCTATTGATAGGGAAAAGAGCAGATTAGTTTTTGGCAAAGGCAGGTCCAGCCGTTTCGGAGATGCGAAGCAAAAAGTGCAGAAAATAGAAATCTAATTTTTGAGAGAATGGAGTATCCGATTTGAATGATCTAAAAAACATTCAATTAGTAATGATTGGGAGAAGTGTTTATTAGTTTTGGCAAAGGCAGGCCCAGCCATTTTGAAGATACGGAGCTAAATATGTAAAAAATGGCAGTTTTTGAGAGAATTAAGCGTCCGATTTAAATGATTCAAAGAACTTTCTATTTGTCTTAACAAAATAATTGATTTTGGAAAAAAAAATTTGTTCCATTTTTTTTTTTTTTTTAGTTTTGTGTATATCGAAAATATTTCAGATTTTATTTTTAATTCTGACTATAGTTCTAATATACTTTACAAATAATTTCAACTCTGCAATTCAGTTTATGTAATTCTTATAAATATTAGACAATGTTACAATATTTATAATAATCTATTTGAAAACATTCAGTATTCCTCGAACATTTCGTTACGGTACGGGAAGTTCCAGCAATTTGCCTTAAGGCACGATGCCATAATTGCCTCAAGACAGAATTCCACTTACAGCTAGTTTACTTTTATATACCTTTCTTTACTTTTGTCTGGTGCATAATCCATTCCTTTATATTAAAAAAAACTTTTTTACTTAATATTCTGTATTCTTCATCATAAATAGAGTTAGTCTATATAAGAAAATGTTTTGACAAAAAAAAAAACTGATGATGGAATGTATCTAGTTCCGAAACGTCGTATCTAGTTCCAAAACATCTACAAAAAACAATAATTGTTTTACATTATTCGATTTATTTTTTTAAAAAGGACCATATCAATTTATGAAAAAATCTACGATTTATTCTTATAAATATTAGATAATGTCCTTCATTTTAAATCCGATTGCTTAAGGGGTTCTTCCTATGTTACGGCCTGTTTTTTAGGGATATTTTAGGATTTTTTTTCTACAGCCAGTAAATATTTAGAGATTCAAGTTTTTATCATTTATTAACACATATTTCGACAGTATAAATATAAAATTTCAGCTAAAAATATTCAGTCAAACTAGAGTTACAGCGCTCTGAACACCCTCGCCTCGAAAAAAAGAGCTCCCACTGTCTCCACGATTACGGCTGATCGGCTTATCTGACCAAAAAAAAATAAACGGCGTTTTAATTTGTAGGCTTAAAAGCACGGAATGAACTACAATCAAATGAATATAAAAAAAATTGGATGTTTTATAGACATTTGAAATAAAAGTTGCAAATTAGGCGTTTTTTTTTTTTATTTTTTGCTATAAAAAAATCGAAGTTTTCAAAATTTTCGATTGATAATAGTTTATTCCATGCGTTTAAATATATTGAGTGTGCCCTGTAAATTTCAAGTAATTCGGTCCAGCCGTTTCTGAGATACAATGGAGGAAAGTTTGAAAAACACAGTTTTGAGAAAAACGCGTTTAAAGATAAAATGATCGTTGTACTATATACTACATGTATTTTTAAATGGCTGTAACTCAAAAACTATTTGAGATATCGATTTGAAATTTTAATATGTTATTTTAATATGTTTATTTTGTGTAATCTACCGAAATATGAAAAGAAAAAAAATCGATTTTTTCAACTCATGACATAGGAAGACCCCCTTAAGCTTTGTTTATTTACTTTTCTGTAATACATATTAGGTTGTCAAATATCTCCCTTCCGCTTTTTTGCTCTTGGTTTATAATACAAAAAGGCGGAAGGGAGATATTTGAAAACCTTATATATAAACATAGTCGTCCAATACATAATCTCTTATATTTTGTCTATAAAATAAGAATAAAATTACAGTATTTATATAATCTATATGAAAGCATTTAATACTCCTCGAATTCGTTACGGTACAGGAAGTTCCAGCAATTTGCCTTAAGGCATGATGCCATACACCACGTTAAATTTTAAATTCTTAGTTCAACGAAAAGTCTTATTTCTTGAAACTTGGGGCAATTGTGTCATTATTTTTGACTATTGTCCTAGAAATGATATTCATGATGGTTACAGTTCCAAAGTTTAAATAAACAAAAGTAACAAAAATTAACCACAATAACAAAGAAACAGTCACAATTTTATAAAGCTCTAGGTTGCATTCAAAAGGTCATAATTTCCAAACATGAATTTTTGTTTCTGAATGTTTTCAGAAGTTCTGTTTATAAGTGTATTTGTGAATTTGTAAATTGTTTTGTAACTTTCAATTTTCTAAGAACTTTGTATTGAAAACATAATTTTGAAAATATCATTGATATTTCCTTGAAAATTGTGTTTTGAAATAAAACTTACCTTATAATACTCTTGCAAGGCATGTGCTATAATAGGGTGGTTCAAATAAAAATTTTCTGATATATTTAGTACAGCTGAAGAATAGAGTTCATTTTCAATAGATCCTCGAAAATTTTGTTGACACTTTTGTTCCAAAACTTCTCTTTCCTTTTTCAACATAATTATTTGATTAAAACACATTTCAGTATACCTTTGTTTCTTCAAGCATTCTGATTGACTATAATAAGATAATAATTTAAGTTATTATAATTGGTAATAAGAACTTGAGCAATAAAATGATTAAATTCAATATTTTATGCAATACAGAGGTTATTTTGTACTAATTTAACAATTTTAAATTAATTTTAAAACAGAAATGTATTTTAGTTATTCTAAAGTACAAATACTATAAAAAATGGTGTACAGATAAATAAAAATAATGGGATAATGGATTCACCGTAAGGAAAATATGTTGAGCACAGAAGGTGCAAATTCAAAATTTGAGTGTATACAAATAATTTAATTTGCAGCTACTTTAAATTGTAAATTCTATTTGTACTTTTAAATAACTAAAATAATAATAATTCAAGCTTTAAATATACCATTAGCATCATATATAAATGAATAAAGATATTAAAAAGACTAATTAAATTAAATTACTCACAAAATTTTAGAATAATTTTTGTGTATTCCAAATGGATTTTTTTCTTTTTCGATATGAGCCAATGAGTCACTTAAACTATTTAAGCCAAGTGATTTTGAAGTTATTATTCCATCAGCTATTATTTCACATGCATTTTGATTCTGCTGAAATATACAAGCAAATGATAAAATAATGAGTTACAACATGATCAAATATCAGTTTGAAAATTGATAATAAATATTATCATATCTCATTAGATGCGATTGGAGGAAAGTTTACTATACAATTGTATATATTTTAACAAAAAAATCTCCTTGACAAAATATTGAAAGCTAGTTTTTGTATGGCATTCCAGACTAATTTAGCTAATAGATAAATTCTGCAGAATTTAGTTAATTGTTCTGCAATGTGATAAATATAGCTTATTGTTAGAGTAAAGAATAAAGAATACATCAGCAGAATACTCTGATATCACCAACAATATGTTTTTTGAATAACAATAATCATAAATCTGAGGATAATAAAATCGGGACCATGATGTGATAGCACCACAAATCAATGATTCCCTCAATATATGGAATTAATATATTTTATATAATTTAATAAAATTAATGTATTAAATCTAAAAAGGCTGAATTCATGATCTATATTATGAGAAATGATAAACATTCTCTTGAAGGTTTTCTTTAAAAAAAACAACTTCAATAAAAACCAGTATATAACTAAGATTTGTTACATTACCATATTATTATTATATTCCTCAGCGTTAGAACGACATGAAAAATTTCTTGATCTTAATAAATGTTGTTTGCTTTCCATAATCTGATCACTTTTTTCATGTATTTTTTCGTACCCATTATTATTATTATTTTCAATAATAGTATCTTGACTTTGATGAGCACAATTACCTTTGGATTGCTTATTAATGCAAGTGATTGCGGGTTGTGTAAAATAGTTTTCAGTCAAATATATATTAGAACAGGTTGAAATATGACACCTAAATAATAAAGAAAAGATAATAAGAGTTCTAATTCTTATAATATTGAATATCTTAATCTTATAAAATAATTTTACTTCTCGAAGTGTTGCTGAACGGGTTTTTCTTCTAGTACCTTCTCAATATAATCATTAATAAATAAGTCCGTTTCTTGGAGCGAACAAGAGTATGGCTTTTCTTCCAATTGGCACTAAAATACATTTAGTATTTATATTATATAGTAAATATTTGATAAATTCAACACACTATGATTTATAAAACAATTGCACAATTGGAAAAAATATATCACTGCAACAATGTATGCGACTTGTATGGTTATGATAACCTTCAACATTTTAATAAGTAATTAAGTATAATGTAATTAAATGTTCCATTATATACACACCTGCATTGTTTATTTCAACCTGAATTAAAACAATACTTTAGTAACTGTATGATCTCAGTCAGTACATGGGGTGCAATATCACTATATCGTTTAGGATAGAGAGTACGATTTACCGCCAAATCATCGCAGCCGCCAAAACAAGCGGTCGAAACTAGAACTGGAACATTTTGGGGACGCATTAAGGTGCGTCCACACCTAACGAACGAGCACGAACGACGTGGATTTTGATATGCGCGTGGGTCGCTTTTGTTAGAAATTTGTAATCTGCGCATATTATTATTTATCATGTTTGTTCGTTTTCGTTCGTTCGTGTGGCGCACTTTCCCAACATTCAGCTCCAATATCTCTATTTGGCAAATTTATTTCGTTACTGAATAAAATTATAATTACTAGTGGGGTGTATGGCATGGTGCCTTAAGGCAAATTGCTGGAACTTCCCGTACCGTAACGAAATGTTCGAGGAATACTGAATGTTTTCAAATAGATTGTTATAAATAATTATTGTAACATTGTCTAATATTTATAAGAATTATATAAACTGAATTGCAAAGTTGAAAATATTTGTTTAAAGTATATTAGAACTATAGTCAGAATTAAAAATAAAATCTGAATTATTTTCGATATACAAAAATTTTTTTTTTGAAAAAAAAAATTTGAAAAAAAAATTTGAAATAAATTTTTTTTTCCCCAAAATCAATTATTTTGTTAAGACAAGCAGAAGGTTCTTTGAATCATTTAAATCGGACGCTTAGTTCTCTCAAAAACTGTCATTTTTTGCACATTTAGCTCCGTATCTTCGAAATGGCTGGGCCTACCTTTGCCAAAAACTATAGTTTATTATAATAAACACTTCTCCCAATCATTACTAATTAAATGTTCTTTAGATCATTCAAATCGGATACTCCGTTCTCTCAAAAACTCGATTTTTATTTTCTGCACTCTTTGCTCCGTATCTCCGTAACGGCTGGACCTGCCTTTGCCAAAAACTAATCAGCTCTTTGCCCTCTCAATAGGAATCGAATGTTTTTTGAACCATTCAAATCGGTTGATCCGTGCGCCCGAAAACAAACGTGACTGGAAATTTGTATCCATACATACATACACACACACACATCCATTTTTTCTGAGGTATGCCAAAATGTTCAGAAACCTTCAAAACGTCGAGAAATGTAAAAATTTTCAATTTCGATTTTCGGCCCATTACAATAAACTTACCCTACGAGAAGTTAAAAACCAGTAATATATGATTCAAAATAAAAATAAATTAATTTGTAATTTTAACTTTACTATAACTTTTAATATATAAAAATAAATATGTACTTTCAGTACTTCTCAAACGTTTTCAGTTCGACCAACCATTACTTAGAATTAGATACTTTAACTTCCCGTGGGGTAAGTTATTGTAACCGTCCAAAAATCGAAATTGAAAATTTTTACATTTTTAGAAGTTTTGAAGGTTTCTGAACATTTTGGCATACCTCAGAAAAATGGATGTGTGTGTGTGTATGCAGGGCCGGTCCTGGGGTCCTCAGCGCCCGCATGCAAGATTTGTTTTAGCGCCCCCCCCCTCAATAATTTTAACTGTTTTAACAGTTTTTCATCAAAATTATATAAACATTATAAACACGTTAAGTTTTTTAATTATTTTTAATCATTCTGGATTTAGTACACAAAAAATTAGATATAATCTAAAAGCGCATAGAGTACATTGATTTTAAATTAATTTAGAAAATCGAGACGATTCGCGGGTTGATCATAATCAAATATTTTTTAGCATATGGGTAATATTAATATTTAAGCTCTGAAACATTTAACTTATTTATTACGCGATTTATTCTATAGAGCAAATCACGCCAAAAGAACAAAAAAAACTAGTCTTTGATTTTTAAACATAACACTCGTTTTTCAAGTTTTAAATTAAATTTTATTTTAATTTATTTTTCATATTTACAATATCCAAAATTACATCGTAAACTTCTCCTTATTGGTATCGTAAGGGCCGAATTGTATCCAGCTTTACTTTCCCATCAGATTGAGAGTATCAGATTGTTATTTTTAACTTATTTTTAAAGTATTCCAAAGATTAGTAAAAGCTGCAAAGAAATTACATATTTTCTTATACTGAAACAAACAAATTATATTTGTATGCGTATTATTGCTGCATAGTTAATAATTAAATTATATATAAAAAAGCTTAAAGATTTTTGTTCCTAAGTACATTTTGCTTCCATTTTTCATATTTGCTTCATAAACCTAACCACACATGTCTTCAAAGTTCATCAGATGTGAAACATTTGCAACAAAAGCAAAAGTTACAATTCAATTCTAATAATGAATAAACAAGCCATTTTCAAAACACTGACGTCTCATTTTCCATTTTCTTTATCATAATTAGTATATATTTCTTTAACAAGTTCCATTTCAACTAAATCAGTTCGCCTTTTTTTCACTAATAACGCCCAATAATTAATTTAAACTTTCGTAGGATTGCTCTTACGGGATTGAATACTAAACTAGCTGTAAGTGGAATTCTGTCTTGAGGCAATTATGGCAATTATGGCATTGAGGCATCGTGCCTTAAGGCAAATTGCTGGAACTTCCCGTACCGTAACGAAATGTTCGAGGAATACTGAATGTTTTCAAATAGATTATTATAAATATTGTAACATTGTCTAATATTTATAAGAATTATATAAACTGAATTGCAGAGTTGAAATTATTTATAAAGTATATTAGAACTAATAGTCAGAATTAAAAATAAAATCTGAAATATTTTCGATATACAAAAAACTAAAAAAAAAAAAAAAGTTGGAACAAAATTTTTTTTTCCAAAATCAATTATTTTGTTAAGACAAGCAGAAAGTTCTTTGAATCATTTAAATCGGACGCTTAGTTCTCTCAAAAACTGCCATTTTTTACATGCTGTATGTATGTAACATGCTGCTTGTCGTAACAAAATAATAGATTTTGGAAAAAAAAATTGTTTCAACTTTTTTTCAAAATTTTTTTTTCAGAATAAAATTTTTTTGTATATCGAAAATAATTCAGATCTTGTTTTTAATTCTGATTATAGTTCTAATATACTTTAAACAAGTAATTTCAACTTTGCAATTCAGTTTATATAATTCTTATAAATATTAGACAATGTTACATATAATTTATAATAATCTATTTGAAAACATTCAGTATTTCTCGAACATTTCGTTACGGTACGGGAAGTGCCAGCAATTTGCCTTAAGGCACGATGCAATACACCCCACTAGTCTTTGACTTAGATCATTTGATAAACTTTTTCTCGTTTCGGAGAAATAAATATCCCGCGATCGCTAGTGGCCGCTGGACAAATGAGTGAGGCTCACGGGCGTTTTGTTTATTTTGAAACCAAAAAGTAAAAAAGTAATTCATCACGAGTTTTCGTCTGGTTTAGTCAAATGCCATTTATTTTTAATTAGGTAAATGTTATTCTTCCATATAATAATAGTACTTTTAATATGCACAAAGATTCTGGGTATAATTCTCGCGGTTTTTTATAAACTCACTTTTATTTTGAAATTCCGAGTTGGTGTTAGTTGAGCAAAGTTGCTAAACTTGTTCTGTCACTAAGACAATTACAATTAACTTCCAGAAATTAATTATCATTTTTAAGATTCAAGCTAAGTCTATGAATAATAATATAAAGAAATAATAATTTTAAACAAAAATACTGAATATATAATAGTAAAATAATTCCTAAGATATCTTAGGAAACCACAAATTTATTTTATTAAATTTATATTATTATATACGATATTGTTTTGTTGACTTTAATTTTAGTTAATTACTTATTCAAAGAAAATTACTATAAGTTTTGTTTTTTCTGTCAATAAAGATTATAAATATAGAACTGATTATTAAAAACTTATTTTATTTCATCACTAATCGACATTGAACCTATGACTTCATTATACTTTCTTAGTGCTTAGTGCAACTTGCCCCACCTATGGGGTACATTGAGCATACTTTACTTTTTGCATTTAAACAGCTAGCTACAGCTGTAGCTTTTAAATTTTACTTATTACCAAAAAATAGTATTAACACTTTTGTTAAGCGATAAACAACAAATCCATTTAGCCGTATAACAATTTATTGAGACTTTTCATAGAGGAGCTACATTCGTTTAAGTAAAAATTTGCTCAACTAGCCCCGCCCTACCCTAATTCGAGAACGCTGATTTCGAAAACAGTAACAGAAATTTGCTAACAGCTCTAGTTTTTGAGATATGCCAATATGCCAGTTCTACCTAAAAACAATACGACATATTTCATTTTATGCCTTCAAAAGTCGTCTTTCTATATGATTTTCGTACGTGAACAAGATCTGACTGATTTTGTCATAAGCTTCAACAATTAATTGTCAGCCATCATGTGGTTCCCTAGACAATATTAGAATACGATGTGTTCATATGGCACCTTCCTTGATATCGATCCTCCAAAGTTCTGATGTTTTGGAGGATACTCTTGCCCTGCTTTTCGTTAATATCTCTCAGATTTTCCAAAAACCGTTCGGAATAAGAGTAAGTATGGGCAATAAATTCACATCAATTACATCAAATATATCAGTTTTAATTCTTCCTGTCTTCTCTTTTAATGTTGGTTTGATGCTCTAGGTTGTTCATCATTGGCAATTGGCATCCATTACTTGGTATGCAGAAGATGTTGATGCTCTAGGACAGGTTATTTATCATTATCATAGATAGTTGTGGTTTATGACCATTTGCTTCTATTGTCTGAATTTATTCCATTGATATTTTCCACACAAACGAAACAATCGTCGTGATAATTCTGAGATATTTTCTAAATAACAGGAGTAATAAAATTATAGCATTATTCTTTTTTCTTCTTGATAATAATGTAAAAATACTACCCAATTTCTGGTATTGGGTATATACTAGGTTTCTGGTATTTGTCGAAAATATTAACCACAGATATAACACAAACTATCTGGATTATGCACACAACGTCTTATTCGAAGCCATACCGAAAACAGCAGATAAAACTCTTAGTTATTCGTTAAACTGCGATAATATTAGTCATTTCGATTCGATGCGATAATCAAAATGACTAATTGGGGTACTTCCCTAAAACTAAAAAAAAACTAGACGGAAAAACGGAAGGTATATTTGAAATCAGCGTGCAGTAGTAAGTTGATTTAAAAAAAAGTTTGAGTAAATAAATAAAAGTGCCATTTTTGTCGCGCAGTGTATTGTTTCAAATATTTTAAATCATTCTATATATTTAAGCCTTATGGCAAGTTGCATGAACACTCCCGATATGCGTAATAATTGACTTAATCAATCGGAATTGGGAGTTAGATATTTAGATAAAATTTTCAACTGTTTATTTCGAAAATAACGTTTTGGTTTTCAATTAAATCTAAGTTTTTCGATTTCCAATTGAATTTTCTCCAACACATTTGAATTTTCTGTAATTATAATATTTATACATATATTGCACCGACTTGTGCTTATATGCCCCAAAATTCATCCAAATTTTAATGAGTTTACAATATTTGACTCATCTTTACAACTTTTGACACAAATTTTGACTATATTTTTTCAAACTTTGACGAATTTTTTAAATTAAACTACTGATCGTGAGGCCGTAATATTTTATCACCAAAATTCATAAAAATCGTCGATTTTTTTTAGGAGTTAATTACAACAACTTGTGCCTGCGAATCTTTACCAAAAACTAATCTTTATCCTTCAGAATCAGTATCTTTTGAATGTTTAAAATCGATTCAGAATTGCGGGCTAAAACGTGGACAAAAAATTTGTCACTTTTCGGCTATTTGCGAAGAAACGGCTTGGCTGATTCGAGTTACATCGAACGAAATTTTTAAAATCGGTCTCAAAAATCTCAAAACACGCACACCCACACATACTTTCTCCAAATTTGGTCTCATTTGATTCAAAATGGTTTCAAACGTCGAGAAACATAAAATTGGCAAATCGGATTTTTTGACTAAAACATCAACTTTTCCTTCGGGAAGTTAAAAAAAATTCAAGTTTCTCAAAAGTTTCATAATTCTCAAAAAAAAAAATTAAATTAGGGTACGGGAAGTTCCAGCATTTTATGACTAGTCCTTGGCGGCGAATTTTTCTTCAAAAAAAATCTGTATAACTAACTAATTCTTCTTAATAATACTTTTTATTTCAAAAAACATAAATAATAAAACATAATACGACTGTGATGCAAAATTTGAGTTTAAATAACCTATTATTAAAATCTATTATTTTTCATTTCAAATTTTGAGCCGTTAATTTGAATGCATTGAGCGCGGTGTTGCCAAACAATATTTTTAATAACAGCGCCATCACGCCCGACCCATTCCATACCCTTCAAAACGTAAATTATCAAATTGATTAATAAGTTAATTATCAAAGTTGGCAATTTAATAATAATAGAAAGATTCGTAAACGAGCTGAAAGAAAAATATATTCTTCAGATATTATACTACTAAGGTTACAATACGTCCCGATTTGGCCGGACAGTCCCGGTATTTTCACCTTGTGTCCCGGTATTTCTCAAAGCAATATTTGTCCCGGATTGGATCGGGTGTCCGAAAAGTATAAATTTGAATTAAATTTTCGAAATTACTTACAACTATTAAAGCAACATAATAAAATTACAACTATTCATCAAATATCTGAAAATGTTTCAACGAGAAAATGAGAAAATTTCCGAATGCAACGTTTACAAACGTGGGTCTCTCACGTTAATAATTTCGAACTTTTTTTTTGCAATTTTACAAAAATTGCTGGAACTTCGCTCGTACCGTAATACTAGAGAAACTAGTGGGGTGGGTGGCATATCGTGCCTTAAGGCAAATTGCTGGAACTTCCCGTTTTCAAATAGATTATTATAAATATTGTAACATAAGAATTATATAAACTAAATAGCAAAGTTGAAAATATTTGTAAAGTATATTAGAACTATAGTCAGAATTAAAAATAAAATCTGAATAATTATTTTCGATTACCGTTTTTGGCACTTTTTGCTTCGTATCTTCGAAACGGCTGAACCTGCCATATCGCCAAAAACTAATCAGCACGTCTCTCCGTCAATACAAATAGAATGTTTTTTGAATTATTCAAATCGGTTGATCCGGGTTTGCGAAATCGTAGACGAAAAATTGTATCCAAACATACATACAAACACACACACACACACATCCATTTTTTTAAGATATGTCAAAATGTTCAGAAACGTAAAGAAAAGTAAAGATGCAAAAAAAATTATTTTAGTTTTTATGCGATTACTATAACTTACCCTACGGGAAGTTAATTATGAATGCGGCGTTTTGAACGTCTTGCACAAACGCTAATTTCGACTAAGTAAGGTAATTATGAAGAAAATTGAACAGAATTTTATATAAGGTGCAAAAGAAAAAGAAACGTATAAGTATATAAAAAATATAAGATAAAATATAACATATAATGGTTTTTAAAAAAACAATTTGAAAAAAAAAATTTGTATAGTATCTTTAAATAAATGAATAGTATTTGTTATTAAAATCATATTCAAGTATTTAGCACATATATATATATATATATATATATATATATATATATATACATATAATTTTATTTAATACAATATCCTCACGTACATGTATTATATAGTTGGTAAATATAATAACAAAATAGTTTACAGTCATAAGTTGCATACTGTAGAACTCTAATAAAGTCAATTATTTTATAGTATCATTATTGCATAGTAATGCAGTATTACAAAAAGCAAGAGGCATATGTTAGTTACAAAACTAAAAGCTCACAGCCAAAAATATTTGGTGTAAAAAATAATACCATTTTGTTAAAGAACTGTAAAATATATTTAAACTTAATAAAGGCTTATTCCTACTTAACATTGAATACTGACATTCACTATCAAATAAAAGGGTAGGTATTTTTGACACAATAAAAGGTTATCCTCAATAACAGTTAACATTTGATACAGCAGTACTTGCTAAAACAGTTCTTATTTCAGAAAGTGAGTTATTTTTGAATGCTTCACAAAGCTTCATCAATATTTTTTTCCGATTAGCGGCTGCTTCCATTGAATGAGAAAGTGAATGTGCTCTACTGGTAATAGCTTGCGATATACCTCCCAGCCGAGCTGCATTAAAACCATAAGATTTTGGACAAGGACCTTCAATATATTTGTACAAAAATGTAACAGTTTCCTGCTGAACATTATTCTCCTGCTCATCTGACTCCACCATACATGCCTATAACATATCCGTTACTAAGGTAATGAAGTCAAAGTTTACAGTAAATTTTAATAGTATTATACTTTACCATATGACCAAGGCTGACATTATCGAAAGAATGAAAATCTTCAACCAAACTATGGTAATGTGTAGAAAACATAGTCCGGCAACCAAGTTGAACCAATTGATTTACAACACCAGCTGCAATAGCTGTACCATCATAGGTTGATGTTCCACGCCCTAAAAAATATTTATTACTAGGTGGTCATTTAGGTAGTAGCATTTTGTGTTGAGGCAAGTTTCATTAATCGATGCAGTTTCAATAATCAACTTAAAAAATAAAGGTATTAATTTATGAGCAATTTAAAAGTATACCTATTCGCTATATGGCATCATATTGTAAACAAATATTGCAAATTATTTAATTTTGAGCAAATTTGCTTGTTTTACTTATATAGTTGTAAAAATAATTTTAACTTTGCAATTCAGATTCAAAATATTTATAAATTTTCTGTAATTCTTACTTACTTATAAAGTCTTCGAATGCGTTCATATTGTTTACTCATATATATATATTAGTTTGATGTAAATAAACATAAATATTATCGCACAAATATAAGCTCCATTATAAAATACGAGTTAAGAAATTTACAGTATTTAAAACATCAATCTTTGAAATAAATATATAAAACAATTATTATTCATTGATCATTTTTATTGATTATTAACTTCCAGTAGGGTAAGTTACTGTAATCGTCCAAAAATCAAAATTAATTTTTTTTGCGTTTTGAAGGTTTCTGAACATTTTGGCATACCTTAGAAAAATTGATGTGTGTGTGTTTTGTAGGGCGTTATATTTATAAATATTTCAGATTTTAATTTTAATTCTGGCTAAAGTTTTTAAGTTCACTTATATACTTTAAATAAATAATTACAACTTTGCAATTCAGTTTATATTATTGTTATAAATATTAGGCAATGTTCTTCATTTTAAATCCGATGGATTAAGTTTTGTTTATAAACGTCGTCGTCCAATTCATAAACTCTTATATTTTGTCTATATAATAATATTAATAAAAGTTACGGTATATATACCAATCTGTTTGAAAACATTTAATATTTCTCGAATATTTCGTTACGGTACGGGAAGTTCCAGCAATTTGCCTTGATGCACGATTCCAAACACCACTAGTTATAATTATGTTTATTCCTAGAATATTTAATTACAGTGCTGGAATTCCAGAATATTTCCTCATTTTTGGCTGGTCAAAAAATTACGCACTTATCTGCTAATTATATGGAGATCTTATATTCTTATACTTTGAATAAAATTTGGATTTTTTATTATTATTCTTTTTATGATTAACTTTCTGTAGGGTAAGTTATTGTAATCGTCCAAAAATCAAAATTGAAAATTTTTACATTTCTTCACATTTTGAAGGTTTCTGAACATTTTAGCATACCTCAGAAAAAATGGATGTATGTGTGTATGTATGTATGTATGGAAACAATTTTTCTTCCACGTTCAAGAAACATTCTATTCCTATTGATAGGGAGGTGTGCTGTGTTTGGCAAAGGCTGGTCCAGCCGTTACGGAGATACGACGCAAAGAGTGCAGAAAATACAAATCGAGTTTTTGAGAGAACGAAGCATCCGATTTGAATGATATAAAAAAATTTCAATTTGTAATGATTGGGAGAAGAGGTGATTCGTTTTCTCATTCGGTTTTCTTAAGTAAGCGTTTCCGGAGGTAAATAAATAACAATAATAAGTAGAAAATTAAACATACCTAATTCATCTAAAAGAACAAGAGAATTGTACGTAGCATGTCGTAATATTGAAGAAGTCTCACTCAATTCTACTAAAAACGTTGAATGTCCTGTTAAAATATCATCATTCGCTCCAAGTCGTGTGAATATCCTATCAACCAATACTAATTCGGCAGCATAGGCTGGCACTCTGGATCCCTAAGAAAGAGAATAGTAGATATCGATATCAATAACAAAATAACACATAAAACAATCTTCATTATGTAGTTGATACCATATGTGCTAAGATAGTCAAGAGACCAATTTGGCGCATCAGAGTTGATTTTCCACCCATATTAGGGCCTGTTAGCAATGCCAAAGCTGACCAGTTGTTTGCATTTATATGTACTGTATTTGGTATAAAATCTTCGTCTTCTATACATGGATGACGACTTTCTTCAAATGACACAAAAGGCTGGAAAATATTTTCTCATAATATGCATTACATTTTCATTCAAATTGATTTGGCATGTTCATCAACCCCTTAATGCGCATTTTTTAAATCAATTTAGCTATAAAAAATATCATTTCATTTTTTTGCAAATATTATTCATGCTTATTTTAACTAATTTGTGCAAAATTTTCATTATTAATATTTGTTATTAATTTGTATTAATTGTTTTTAGTAAATCATAAATTAATGCAATTTTAAAACCTAAAGTCCTATGTCACACATTACAATAATCAATTGCAATAATCTACCTACCAACATGACAGATAGGGACTTAAATATTTGGAAAATTATATTTCCATATTAACCACACAGAGCTGTTATATTTTGAGATAAAATTGCAGTGACTGTGATGTTCATGGAACGTCAATTCACAATTCTACATGTGAACGTTGCCTGTATATGTCTCAGACGTGGGCATTGAGGGGTTCAGTAGATTTTTATAATTTTACTGTTTAATATATTTACCTTACTATGTTTTTCTGGTTGAACCAAAGTAGGCATTACCATATTATATGATTGTAACCTGGCATATTCAGCCAAGCTTGCAAGAATGTCTAAGAGAGAAACACAATTAACAACCTCATTCCATTTATCAAAATGACTACTGAATTTCTCAAAAATACGTCTAGCAAGATCTTTCAATACAGCTTCTCTTTTTCCTTCTGCTTTCATCATTTTTTCTAACAATTCCTGAAATGTACAAAATAACATAAATGGCTCTGTAGTCTGTAACTAACGAATTCGTTAGTTACTAATTAATATTTCTACTACTTGATATCAGTTTGCACGCAACGCGGAATTTGATTCCGTGAATGCATGAATAATACTTTTTGTAAACAAAAATTGGGAAGGAGCCAGCCAACCGCTTTTATATTCGCATAATGCGCCCAAAATATTAACCGTTAAATTCAGGATCTGAATTAAAGGGTTTATTATATGGCATGGATTCAACCACCAATTTTCGTCAAGATATTATTACCGACTAACTACAGCGGTTGTACTCGCAGACTACGAGTGCAACCGCTGTAGTGCATTATTTATGATAAATATCGTTGAGTTTAATGAATAATTACTAGCTAGTGCATGAAAAGGTTAAAATCATTTTTTGTTTGTGATAATGCGTTTGCCTGGAATAATTTTTAATTTGCGTCATTCGAAAGCTTATAGATTTCTCATATATTATCACAATTATGTGGTACTACATATTCGAACGGACAACGCATTGTAATAGTCACATCATCAGTGGATCCACAAATAAAAAATTAAATTGATATAGAATTAAAAAATGAACTAGAAAAATATTGTATTTAGAAAAAACAATAAAAAATAGTAAGAGAAAAAAAAACAGCAAGATAAAAAGAAGTAAAAGTAATATACATAAAAATAAATATATTTTTATGTATAAATAAGTCGGGGGAAAACCCGACTTATTTTTATATATATCTACATATATATAAAAATAAGTCGAATTTTCCTTCCTGGCGATTTAACACCAGAACGCACGAACCGATTTCGACAATTTTGCATTCTTTCGAAAGGTCTCGGGCTCCGCAAGGTTTATAGATAAGAAAGTGGTGCATGGCATCGTGCCCTAATGCAAATTGCTGGAACTTCACGCACCGTAATTAAAAATTCGAGTGATGACATTAGTGAGAATTTTCAGAATTATGCTTGGTTAAGTCTACGAGCAATTCTTGCCGCCAAGAAATATGATGTATAAGCACTGAATTTCACCATTCAATAAAAAATTGCTGAAGATTTGGTGACATACCAATGATTCCGACTGGTCTTCCGTTTGACTTCAAACGATTGCAATTTCCAGTTCGCCTTGCGTTCGCAATGACAACTAACAATTCGCAAGGTCAATCGCTTAGTGTTTGCGGGATAAATTTCAAATAGATTATTTAGAAAATCATTGTTTTTCACATGGGCAGCTATACGTTGCCTGTTCACGAGTTGGAAAATAATCCGCTTTGTTTGTGTTAACGTCAGACCAAAAAACAAAAATTGTGGTTTACCAAGAGCACTTCAATGAAACGGATAATTTGCGGATTCACTTTCATTTACTTAGAATATTTCAACTAAAAAATACTTCATTTTTGTAATCGAAATAAATTCATTACTGTTGTGCAATAAAATCAAATTTTTCCTTTTCAAATATAAAACAAACAAAAAAATTCTTCATCTTTCTGACGAAACCATCTGGTGGCGAAACGGAGTTCGTCGGGTTTGCTTGTATATATATATATATATACAGTACAGGCCAAAAGTTTCCGGACACATGAAAAATCTCATTTTCTGAGTTTTTAGCTATATTTTTCATATAAAAATAATTTTATTCAAGTTAGTTTTGTACATTCTACGTAGTATTAATATTTAGTGACTGATTTGTAACCAATTTGTGAGAAATGACGGACTAATTAGCAATGAAAATGTTAAAATGACACAGTCGATTTTCCTGAATATGACCATCCTTTGCTTTGATCGCTGCAGCGCATATTTTTGGTAATCTTTTGACAAGTTTTTGCAATGTTTGCGCAGGTATGTTCTTCCAGGACTCGTTAAGGCAATTCCACAGGGCAAGGAGGCTGGTTGGATGCAAATACTTCATGAGGCATTTAAGCTCGTCCCACAACAGCTCTATTGGATTAAGATCCGGCGATTGTGCAGGCCACTCAAAAAACCACTTCTGCAAGCAGTAAATAAACAAAAGAGATTGCAATTTGCCAAAACCCACTTAAATTGGACCATCAATCAATGGAAATCAGTTTTATGGACGGATGAGTCAAAATTCGAACTTTTCGGAAATCATCAACTCAATTCTAAGTGTATTTCGACAAAGGTGAAGCACGGTGGTGGTTCAGTGATGGCTTGGGGTTGTTTTGGATTCAATGGAGTCGGATCGCTTGTCAAAATACATGGAACTTTAAAGAAAGAACAGTATCATAGCATACTTGAGCGCCACGCCATTCCATCTGGTTTCAATTTAATTGGTCCAAAATTTATTTTTCAACAAGATAATGACCCTAAACACACTTCCCGACTCTGTGCCAATTATTTGAAGCGAAAACAAGATGAAAAAATACTCCAAACAATGGATCTTAATCCAATAGAACTGTAGTGCATTTGTCTGACTGATTTGCATCCAAGCAGCCTCCCTGCCCTGTGGAATTGCCTTAACGAGTCCTGGAAGAACATACCTGCGCAAACATTGCAAAAACTCGTCGAAAGATTACCAAAAATATGCGCTGCAGTGATCAAAACAAAGGGTGGTCATATTCAGGAAAATCGACTGCAGTGACATTTTAACATTTTCATTACTAATTAGTCTACTATTTCTCACAAATTGGTTACAAATCAGTCACTAAATATTAATACTACGTAGAATGTACAAAACCAACTTGAATAAAATTATTTTTATATGAAAAATATAGCTAAAAACTCAGAAAATGAGATTTTTTTCAAGTGTCCGGAAACTTTTGGCCTGTACTGTATATATATATATATATATATATATATATATATATATATATATATACCCGGTATCCGAAAATCATATGTGCCTATGAGACTTTTTTTACCCATATAAATCGATCCGGAAATACATAAATTAAAAACTTGTATGACTTTTAAAACATTTTTATTGTTTCCATACGTTTCGACACATTGTTTTGTGTCATCTTCAGTGGACTATGTAATTGTAGTAATCCTAATTATTTCATAATTATAATTGTTCACGATGCACAATAAAAACAATTCTCGTCACTTTAAATCGAACAATATATAAATTTTAGAATGAGGTTTTTATTGTATAGTACATCTCGTAATTCCGTATTCCGATGCGAGAGTGTAGTGGTGAAAAGTCATACAAGTTTTTAATTGATGTATTGCCCTGAAGACTGAATCTCACAAATCTCAACATCAAAATTATAACTTATAATTATATAATTATATTATATGTATATATACATTAGAATTTACCTTTGTTTTCACTGTAGTAAAACGTTTTGCAGCTTTTGCACCCTTTTTCTGGCCTTCAAGACTATAATCTCTACCTGCTTTACCAGCAGCATGGGCAGGAACTTCTAAAGTAAATCGTTTTTTATCATTGCCATGATAAGTCACCTCGCAACCAAAATATTTGCATTGTTCTCTCAAATAACTTGCTAATTCATCTTCAATTTTTTTAATATTATCAATAGCATCGTCATAGTCATTATCCACACCAGCTATAGGCACGATAACGCCATCCCTTTCGGCTTGTTCATGATTGAAAGCATTCTGTAATGATTAAACTTTCTTTAATTGAAGGGAATTTGCATACATACTTACTATTACTGTGAAATAAGACCATTTGCGTTCTGTAGAAGTAAACATCACCTATTATAAAATTTAGTGAATGAAAGAACAACCTCAAACGTTGTTCAAATGATAAATTATTGGAAAAATCATTGTAATAGGTTGTTCCGTACTCTCAATAATTTGTATTAAATCAATTAACATTTTTTTGTAAATTTTTGTTTTTTGAAAAAATAATGTTTTCTTTATTTTGGCATATTCTGGAAGATATGAACTTTTTTTCAAAGCAATCGTACTGCTTTAACTGCATATTGACAAAATATAAAGCGCGTAAGCGCCGCGTCGCTGTCTAACAGATAAACATTGGTACGGAACCCATTAGAGTGTAAACAAAATTTATACTTATTGTTAAAATCTCTATAAAGTATCTGATAATTTGATGTGCATATGCCTAATGATCATTTTTGAACGCCAAATGGCATTTTTTTTTACTTTTTTCGTTAGATCTCCGAAACCGCTAGACCTGCCCTCTTGAAAATTTGATCAATTCTTCATCTTGTCAATACAAGTAAAATGTTTTTTGAATTATTAAAATCGGACGCTCCGTTCTCTTAAAAACTGAGTTACCGTTTTCGGCACTTTTTGCCCCGTATCTTCGGAATGGCTGGACCTGCCTTCGCCAAAAACTAATCAGCACGTCTCCTTACCAATACGAATCGAATGTTTTTTGAATTATTCAAATCGCTTCATCCGTGTTCCCGAAATCGTCGACGAAAAATTGTATCCGCACATACAGACACACGCACACACACACACACACACATACATCAATTTTTTCTAAGGTGTGCCAAAATATTCAGAAACCTTTGAAACGTCGAGAAATGCAAAAATTTTCATTTTCGATTTTTTTGCAATTACTATAACTTGCCCTACGGGAAGTTAATAACGGACTCAACTCAAGTACTTATTTAACAAACACACTCACTAAAAAACTAGGACCATACCGGTGTTATTTGCTATAATTATACCATCGTTCGTAACAGATTCATACTTTTATGAAGAAAATTGTTCCATCACTATTGCTAGTGTGTAATTGCACAACTTTTTTGCCAAATTTTACAAAAGCCAAATTAAAATTTAACTTGGACCGCCTCAGAAATTTAGTTCAATAGCAAGTCAAAAAGCTAAGACAACGCCTCTAACACAAAAAAACCTATAATAGAGAATAAGTTAAAACTATGATGGAATTGGTCAATGTTAATGAAAATTTTCAGATAAAAAATGATATTAGCATTTAAGATATAATCAGACCTAGAAAGTATGCGGTGGAAATACTCTTATCATCTTATGTCAGCATTATCTCTCAAAAACCTTTTACACAATTTCAAATCTCTAGTGGTTTCAAAATCACTTTACAGCAAATCTTATATAATGACAATTAAATATCTCAAAAACCTTTTACACAATTTCAAATCTCTAGTGGTTTCAAAATCACTTTACAGCAAACCTTATATAATGACAAATATCTGGACCTGTATACTTCATATACTAGCAAAAAATATAAACATTATTAAATCGTAGCATATTCTATTTATAAAGATTAAAATAAATTATCTACATACTTTGAAAAATTCTAATTCCTCTTGCACATCTGGAAGTTGCCCAAGTGGATTGATGCAAGTCAATTGTTTAAGTAAGTCGGAAGTTGATTCAGAGAATAATTCATGAAATTGTGAAATATGTTCAAAAGCATTCAAAGTAGCAATAAAATCACTTATTCTTCTCTTTGCGTAAGTTTTTTGTTCATAAAAGATTGCTCGACTGTCAGGATGAAACTTATTATATTCATAATTTCCACTTGTGTGTATCCTGAAATATATAATTTTATTACTATTGCTTATTATGATAACATTTTTAGGAATATTTATAATTTCCAACATTCCGTGAAATATTTTAAAAATCGTAATAAAATAGAGAAGTTCGTAAATCGTAATAAAATATAAAACATTCAGCAGAATATTTTAAAAATCGAAATAAAATATAAAAGTATTTTTTGGTGATTTACCTTTCAGAATCTGATTTTATAAATACCTGCTTGCGTGTGTATTGTGTACATTCCTTAAATAATTAAAACAAACGCGAAACATTTAAATAAAGAAATGTTTTAATAAAAATGCATAAACTTTTACTGTTTTCTGAACACACAGTGGTGTATAATTCACAGCAGAATCTCTCATCTCATATGGACCAATCCAAGGTTTGACTAATATTTAGACTTCTCTTTACAGATGAGAAAAACTATTTGCCCGATTTTAAATTTTGTTTTCTTTATTTATCAGTACTTTTCGAGTTTATCTACTATAAATTAACATGTCTTTAGGGACTTGAATCGAGGTTTGTATTCGACTTGATTCGAAGAGTAATGCACATCAGGATGCTTATTAACCAGTTAACTGAGACGCTCTCATCGAACTGTGCGCACAGTTTTGTGCCGTCCGAATAGAGCCCATGACGAGTATATAAAATGAAAATAGTAAGATATATAATGAAAAATATGGATTTATATCACAAAAGCGAAAATTTTATTACTCCATTTTACTTCTTTGTTAACATAAGCATAAATATTATATTAATAAAACTCAATAAATTCTATTGGTACATGTAAATGCAAGAAAGTAGGAATAGTCAAAAAACGAACTTCGAAATAAACAGTCCTACTGTTTATTGTTAATTTTTTGTCTCAAGGTAAACAACCACTCTTATGACTACTTATTTTATACCAACATAACTTTATAATAATCAAAACATTTTGGCATTTCAAAATATTATTAACTTCTATGAGTAAGTTATAGTAATCGCAAAAAAAAATCGAAGGTTTCTGAACATTTTGGCATACGCATTTAGTATACGTATGTGTAGATAGATACAAGATACAATTTTTCACCGACTATGGATCAACTGATTGGGAAGATTCAAACAACATTCGATTTCCCAGACATGCTGATGATTAGTTTTCACGAAAACAGTCAACGGTAAAAAGTGCAAAAAACGATCAATTAATCTGGAAAAACAGGTTAGAAGTTTGAAGAAAAATTATAATTAAAAAAAGTTATTTATCATTTAGACATATGCACATCAAATTATCAGATACTTTACAGAGATTTTAATAATGAGTACTGATTTTGTAAATTTTTTTTTGAGTTTTGTATCAAGATTTTTAATTTTTCGTTAAAATAAATGCCCTCGACATTTTCGATAGGATGAATTACTATTCAGAAAGTTTGACACGCCATTAACAGGCAACCCGAATTATTGAAATTAAATATCCATCAGAGGTTTGTCCGGACAAAAGAGCTAAACGGTCCACACAATAGCTAAAAGTTCTTTCTCAATAGATAAATTTTCTTCAATATTTCGAGTGTCCGGCAAGCGAATGTTATAGGCAAATCATTGTCGATAGGGCTTTGCCAGATGCATTGGTAGTAGGGTTTGTCGGTTTTCAGAAACCGGTTTTAAAAACCGTTTTTTTGATGGTAATTATGGGATTCTAAAACCGGTTTTTTAGTAGAAAAAGCCGGTTTGCACTGTACGAAATGTGAAAAAATAGCCAAATATAAACATAGATGCAAGCGTTTTGATTCTTCAAATCATATCGGTTTGATAACATTTGGAATCATATCAGTCTGCTAAGGCTCCCAGAAAAGTTTTGTATTATCTTTTGTCTATATATATATATATATATATATATATATATATATATATATATTAATTTAGATTTTTATACCAGTGTATATAACATATATTAATTTAAATACTACTCAAACTTCATAAAAAAGAGTTTTTAGCCCTAGAAGCCACAAATAAAAGAACAAACAACTTAGAATTATCATATCAGGCTTTAAGAACAATTAAATCTAGTTCAGTCGCAAGTAAAGGAGTATTTTCTATTTCGGAAAATTTTGTGAGTAAATAAAGGACACGTCTAAGTAACACATCAATAGTATTATATTAAATTAAATATTATTGATAATATTTTATTAAACAACAAAATAATTAGAATTTTTAAGATTAATTAATTAAAATTGCTCGGAATAGAAAATACTCGAGGTTTAGCTCAAGTTTTTTTAAAACTAAAATTGATATTAACAAATATGTATCAACATGTATCTAATTTTTTTTAATTCAATAAATGTTTTTTATGTAAAAATGTAACATTTTTTTTACTCGAAAACTTTCCTTTCATTATCATAAAAATATCTTCATTCTTATATGTGAAAATGATGCATGAATAACGAATAATTATTTTCAAAGTTATTTAATCCAGGTAAACTATTATTTTTTTGTTTTACTAATTGAAATTAAAATAATTTTGTTTACTATTCATAAAATTGAACAATAAATAATTTCAGTCAAATACTAAATTTGAGAATAAATTTTTGTTTTTACAGAATATTCGAGCAAAAATTTATTTTCTATAAAAAATTCGAAAACCGGTTAAAATCGGTTTTCTGGTAAAATTAAAATTCGAAAACCGGTTTTCTGAAATGTCGGTTTTTGTATAAACCCTAATTGATAGTAAAATGAAATAATAACTCAAAATTAATATTGTGTGAAATGAAAGGATATAAATAAACTCTGCCATTGGCTTAGATGTGTTATAAAAGCATTCTATAAAGCGTCTATAATATCCTGCAAAATATGGTCTAAATAAAAAACTTTTATTAAAATATCGTGAATTTGTTTAGAATGATCCTGAAGTGTATTATAATATTGGAGACCTTGTAATCCAGTGAAAATCGAATTTTGATATGTTTGAATGTAGCAGGGCATTTTTTAAAACTCAACGTTCTCTTCTAATAGCAATGATTTGCTTGAGTGGATAGAGCTGTGTTTTTTTTATCTTCAATACTCATCTTAATTTGATAAAAACCTGAGGCAGAATGAGTTGAAAAGTATTTGAAGTTTCCAAACTAGTCTGGGATATCTGTCATGTTAAATTATCAGAAGAAACAGTCATATTATTAACAATTGTATTTAGTGCAATTATTGATCTAAAATATGAGCAGAAATAATTCAAATACTCAAATATCAAAAGGATCCTCATTCTTTGTCTTCTCATTAGCTTGCCTTCATAAATTTACAAGATTTTAAAAATAGCTTTTCATACAAATTGAAACCCTTTTTGTGAAACCTTCCACTCTGATATGAACCTCAGAAGTGTCAAGAATGCTAAGTGCACTGTGAAATATTTATTTATTTGAACATGCTTGATTAGATTTTGTCTGACTGCATCTTAAATCAATATTTTTAATAAAAATATATCAATGTGACTATACTTGCTATCGATATCATTAGTTTAAAAATAGACTTGACCAATTTGTTGTTTGTGACAGTCTTGAAATATGATAATTTTAAATGCATATGCGCTCATCATTTTGTATATCACTCAAATTTAGTGATAAAATTACAAATTACAAATATAATGATAAATGTAAATCACTTTATGTTCGATTTTTATTATTGAATATCTTAAACCAAACCCAAGTAAATATGCCTAAAAGCTGATGATTATAATGTACTTACTGTGCTATATTTCTTTCCAGATCAGGAAACTGCGAGAATTTCTTTCTGATTTCTTGTAAAATAGATGGGTTGGATAGTAAAAACTCTATTGCTTCTTGACGTTTTCTTATCACAGATAAAACACAGGGAGGAGCACATAGCATCTGCCTTAATAACCTAAATGAAACATTTTTTATGATAAGAAGTTCTGCAGTAACTACAGTATTGTTTAGAGCTTCAAAGGCATGTTCACACTAATGTTACAAAGCATTATTACAACAATATAAAAAGTACAAATACGCGCAATGCACGTGTGTGTCGAATTTTTACTCCAAAATATTCTGTTACTTAGTAATTTTAGTGTTTTTGTCCTGGTTGGTCCTTATATTTGCATTCATTATATGGTATTTTAGATTTGCTGAATGATAACACACATCAAGTGTCAAAACATAAAATAATGTTTTTCTTTTAACTCATTTTATACTCGACGAATGGGCTGCTAATTACTTTCAAATAAGTTTTAATGTTGAAAAAACTATCAAGATATATTAACTACATCATATGCCAAAATTGAGTCACAGTATAATATTGATTTAATGAATACATTTATTTGTTCAGCTGTATAAAAACTGTTTCAAATTTAAAAAAAAAAAAAATGCCTTACCTCTTTCCAAATGGCGTACAGCAATGGTCAATTTTTTGTAACAAACTGCCATCAACACCGACTACTCTTAAATTATGTAAAGTAACAGCATCCAACACCATGTGCTCAAGCAAATCAATTTTGTCATTCGTTTCTTGCTTAAATTCAGAAGCAGACAGATCAGGAGGATTGTAGACAAAAAAACGAGCTCTGGAAATTATTTGTTGATCTAGGTAACAGTTCTTTAAGTAACACAATGCAGTACCAAGTGCTTTTAAAGAATATTCATATTTCTCTTCAGGCGCTAAATTATCAGCTGAAAAAAGTATTTCTTTATGAAATCTTAAAATGATGAACTCAAAAAACACAACATCAAATATAAAAATTATGTGAAAAATAAATTATTCTATCATATTAAAAAAAATGCTTGTAATGCATCTATTTATTCAATTGCATAAACAATTCAAATGATATTATAGATAATAGATAAACCTTTGCAAAATACACCACCTTAAATCAGGCTAAGAATTTTGACATTTGCATATTTCAGCCAGCATGAAGTTGGCGACGAAATAGAAGTTAGACGTCAAGTTGAAATGTATTGGATTCATTGTTCATAACTTTGACAGCTAAAACCTGTCAAGATCATTATTATCACAGCCAAACAAGTATTATTATTATTATATTGTCTAATACCAAGATGATAGCCTTTATCTTAGACAATATATTACGTTAAAATACAATATATCTTGTTCCCTCATAGCAAATATTGCAGAAAAAACGAAATATATCTGTCAATTCCAAGACAGTATGAAGTATTTTGGTTTAGTATTATAACATCAGAAGTGTTTCAATTTTATTTCATTTACTGAACCTTCTATTTGTTGTTTGTTGAGTTTTAGTTAGCTTCCACTGAATTAAGGTTAAGATCGAAACCAAACCTAATCATGTATACAACGTAACCCTAACAAAAATAATGAATAAAATGTAACCCTATGCGTAAAACGTAAGCCTAAATTATTTTTTAAAACAAAATTATAACTAAAACATTGTATAAAATCTAAGCTAGACTAAAATGATATTTGAATGAAAAGAATCCTAAAACATAACCCTAAATTGTAAAAATTAAAATAAGAACTAAATAGGCGCGTAATCAAAAAGCCAAAGCGAATAAACTTGAACGGACATAAAAAAATAAACACAAAAAGAATGAATCATAACGAAAAGCTAAAAAATATTAAATATGAAACAAGCCTACTTAATAAAAAACAATACGCCGAACCAACCCTGATATAAAAATGAACAAAATGGCCGACGCGCTCTTGACATCTGAAATGCTTGACAGCTTGATATCAGTCTTCGCCGGCAACTTCATGCTGGCTGAATTATGCAAAGTCTTAGCTTGATTTAATGCCTCCTTTGCAAAATCAGTCTGTATTAATTTCTAAGAAATGCATTTTCTGACAGGCTTCACAAAATGTATCACGCACATGGTCATCATTCTTAAATATTGGAAAAGACATTGGTCCACAAACGTTGACTAATAATAATAATAGGCAGTGCTGGATTTACAGTAGGGACAATCGGTGCTACTGCCCAGGGCGGCAAATTTTGGGGGGCGGCAAATTTTGGGGGGGCGGCAAAATTTGGATAGTGAGAAAAAAATTCTATACAATATAATCAACGCAAAATTTGGGTTGAAATAACCGATAACTAAAATTTATTATTTTGCCTTGCCTCCCTCTCCGAACGTAAATTATCAAATTGTTTAATAAGTTATCAAATTTGACAATTTGGCTAATATAAAGATCCATAAACAAGCTGAAAGTTCAACAAAAATATGTTTTTCAGTTTTCGATCCCTCTTAAAATGAAGAAATTGTGCACTTCCAAGCTTATAGCGTCGAAAAAAAAATTTAAACTAGTGACTCATGGCAAGACAAATTGCTGAAACATCCCGTACTAAAAATTACTTTTTATAAAGAGCTTTAAAATTTTTTGAAAAATGAAAAAATCATCAATACAAATCTAATATTTTTTAATTATTCAAGTCGATTTCGAGAACACGGATCAACCGATTTAAATGATTCAATTCCTATTGATAAGAAGACGTGCTGATTAGTTATTGGCCAAGGCAGGTCCAACTGTTTTGAAGATACGGTCTAAATTACAGAATAAATAACTGCTTAAATTTGTATGGGGGGCAGGTTTAGCGGTTTCGATGATCCAATAAAAAAAATTTGAAAAAGAAACATTTGGCGGACAAAAGTGATCATAAGACATATGCACATTAAATTATCAGATATTTTAAAGATATTATAATAATAAGTACACATTTTGTTTACATTTATATGCGTTCTGTAACATTGTTTATCCGTTAGACTGCGACGCGGAGCTTACGCGCTTCTATATTTTGTCCCTATGCTGCTGAAGCAGCGCGATTGCTTTATAAAAAAGTTCGAAATTTCGTAAAATTTCAGGGATGGGGCGGCATTCTTGACAGTGCTCCGGGGCGCCAAATTTCTAAATCCGGCCCTGATAATAGGTAAAAATTAGATGAAGAGTGTGCATATATTAGGTCTCATCTTTTGAATAGAAAATTAGGCGTTCTTGCACTGCTTTACCTTGTTTATGACTCTTTTTTTGTTGATGTTCTCGATGCGAAATAAGTTTCATTTATCACTTATACATAAAGTGAAAAATTCAACTTATCTGTTGAATATGAATTTTACGTTGAATGTTTTCCACATAAAATAATTTGGCAAAATAAGGTTTATGTATAATAAAATATTATGTATTTCTACTCGATGTTAAATAATTAAATTTGAATTAAACGTACGTTTAATACTAGGATTAAGATCCCTTTAATTTGACAGAACTCGAAATTTAAAATAAAATGCTGAAAAAACGATAGCACTAATCTTAACTGATTTGTGGCGTGAAATCATAGTTTTATTAATAGATATTACATGAGCAATCATAATTTTGATATTCTTTCTAAATTTTAAAATCTATATCTGGTATACTATCTCTACGAAAGCTAGAAACTTACTAATAATTAGTTAGAACAAAACACCACACAAGTAATTAATACACTAAACACAAACAAAAACATGTCAAAGTAATTATTACTTCGCCAAAAAGCAAGTTAGTGGAATAATAAATAAATATGAATATACTTCGAAAAAGAAATAATAAAAATAATAAGTTCGGACCTCATATCTCAAAGAACGAATAAACCCAGAAAGTTAAATTTACCAGCAAAAATCATGTTTTTTTTATTTTTTCATTCGAAATTTTTCAATAATAAAATTTTCAAGTATTTTACTATTGTACAATCCTGATTAAATTCGATTAACTTTTGGTGGTGGAATTTGCTTACACACTTTAGTATTTTTTTTACAAGAGGGCCTTTCAAAGTCGACCAATTTTAAAAAATTAAATTTATAGTTCACAGAAGGTTTTAATTCTTGAAAACCCAGGGCAATTGTATTTTTTTTTATTGCCATTCAATAAATATTATTCGCGCTTACTGTTCCAAAGTTTAAATGAACAAAATCAATAAAAATTGACCACAATAACCAAAAATTGGTCATAATTTTACTGAAGCTATATGTTGAACTTAAATCTCCAAACAAATATCACCTCGTGTCGACTTGACCGTCAAGGTCCGGGACATCCTGTACGTGCTTATAAATTAACTAGTGGGATGCATGGCATCGTTCCTTAAGGCAAATTGCTGGAACTTTCCGTACCGGATCGTTCTAGTATTACGTAAGCAGATTTATTACAATTATTTACCCCCCCCCATCCCCCTTGTCAGCAAAAGTAAGCAAAGCTCTTAACCCCTACCCCCATGCTTACGTAAACATTTTGCAATTAATGTAAAAAAATAAAAATACTACCTATAACGTAATCATCATCAGACTCCCCTGCCCCCCATGTCAACCCACAATAAGCAAATCAACAACCCCCCCGTCCCCCTATAGTGCTTACGTAAAACTTGAACGGCCCTTAATTAAAAATCTTGGTACGGAACCGAAAAAAAATTACACAAGATGTGTACACATTATGAAAATCTCTATAAAATATGTGATAATTTACATATGTCCAATAAATATTTTTGACCGCCAAATGACATTTTTTTAACTTATTTTTATTGAGAGTCCATAACCGCTAGACCTGCCTTCTCACAAATTTAATCAGTTCTTCATCTTGTCATTACAAGTAAAATGTTTTTGCTCCTTAAAAACTGAGTTACTGTTTTTGGCACTTTTTGCCCTGTATCTTCGGAACCAGCATTCGCCAAAAACTAATTAGCACGTCTCCTTATCAATACGTATCGAATGTTTTTTGAATTATTCAAATCGGTTAATCAGTGTTCCCAAAATCGTCAACGAAAATTTGTATCCGAACACAGACAGACACATACACACACACACACACACACACACTGATGGAAGCTTGTCATCGGGTTGGAAATAGTAAGGCACCGGGATTAGATGGAATTCCTAATATCGCCTTAAAAACATCAATTACGACATCTCCGTCAATGTTTCTTAATGCCTATAATACATGTCTAAAAGAAGGGGATTTTCCACGAAAATGGAAAGAGCAAAGATTAGTGCTTATTTCCAAAGAAAGAAGACCACCAGATGAACCATCATCCTACCGTCCGATATGCATGCTGGATACAGCGGGTAAAATTTTTGAAAGAATAATTCACCAAAGAATAGATGCAGTAGTTGACCCACTCCTAGTTGGCAATCAGTATGGTTTTTGCAAAGGGCGATCAACAATCGATGCTATAAACTTGGTAGTTAATACCGCCAAGAAAGCAAACTGGGATTGCATTATAAATGCACTCCGTGACAAGAACGTGCCAGTGTACCTCAGCAATATAGTCGCAAGCTACTTTACAGAGAGAATTCTAATGTACGATTCACGCGATGGTACAGAAGAATATAACAGAATGTGTGCCTCAAGGCTCTGTTCTAGGGCCTTTGCTGTGGAATATTATGTATGATGGCCTTTTATAGACTTGAGATTCCAGCATATGTGAAACTAGTAGCATGAACCTCTAATTAGCACAACAAAAAAGTGAAGCTGTTCTTATCACGAGTAGGAAAACAATAGAGACCATCAAGTTGAAGATAGGAAATCTAGAGATCATGTCAAAACCTCACATATGTTACCTCGGATTAATGCTTGATGCTTGATTGAATTTCAATCAACAGGTGGAACACGTTAGTGCTAAGGCGTCAATAGTTAGGACGAGACTTGCTCGACTAATGCCTGATGTTGGAGGCTCTAACTAAACCAGAAGGATATTACTATCATCAGTGATTACTTCGGTGCTTACATATGGTATCACCATATTTACATACATATGGTATCACAATATCGGAGAAAGCAGTGTGCGTCATTTCAGGAACTTTGCCTCTCTTAATCTTAGCAGAGGAAAGACGGACAATTTACCTTCGAAGACATCAACAACCGAGTCCTGAAAAATTGAGAATAAAAAAACGGCAGAACAGCATTGACCGATGGCAGCAACTGTGGGATGTCGCAGTGAAGGGCAGATGGACGCATCCAAACATCAAAGTCTGGCTAAATCTCAAGCATGGAGAAGTAAATTATTACACTATACAAATGCTATCTGGGCAAGGCTGTTTTCGAGCCTACCTACACCGTTTCAAGCAAGATAGCTCGCCGGTTTGCCCATATTGTTTGGGCGAAATCGAAGATGATGAGCATGTGTTCTTCGTGTGCTCGCGATTTGGTGCTCTACGGGACGATGTGGAAGAAACATTGAGGCGAAGAATTACTCCAGGTACTGTTGTTGAAGTGATGCTGACAACTGAAGCTGCTTGGAACGCCATAGACAGGTTTGCGAGAGAAGTGCTAATTGACCTGCGTTCTATGGAAAGAGAAAGGGCAAATGGGACTACCCTTAAAAGATGAGTATAAAATCAAGTTAAGAATGATAACATTATAGATCCTCCTCTCACGAAGTAATGCCTGATGGCGGTTTCCGTGGGGGCCAGAGGCAAGGGCAAAGCGAAGGTTTCAGTCGGTATTAAACCAGGGCGGTTTTGAGTCCGACATATCCAGACAAAACACCAGTCTGGGATGCATAAAAGCATTTCCTTCGATAGACAAAAAACAAAAAAAAAAAAAAACACACACAGACACATACATCAATTTTTTCTAAGGTATGCCAAAATGTTCAGAAACCTTTGCAACGTAAAGATATATATAAATTTTCATTTTCAATTTTTTTGCGATTACTATAACTTACCCTATGGGAAGTTAAAAATTATTTTGATTATATATATTTATTGTTCAATAAATTAATTGATAACTAGTGGGGTATGGCATCGTGCCCTAAGGCAAATTGAAAATAAAAATGAAATATTCGAGGAATATTAAATGTTTCAAATAGATTATTATAAATACTGTTACATTCATTATTCGTATTTTACAGACGAGATATGAAGGCTTGTAAATTGGTTGATGACGTTTATATAAATTTACATGAAAAGTAAATGAACAGAACTTTATGAAGGGGAATTAGAATGAAGGATCTTGTCTCATATTTCTAAGAATTATATAAATTCATAGCAAAGTTTTAATTTAACTCATGCAATGTTAAAATTATTTATTTTAAGTATATTATTTGAAGCTTTAGAATTTTAGCTAGGATTAAAATTAAAATCTGATATATTTTCGATATTCAAAACAAATTTTTTGGCGATGCAAAAAAAATCCGCTTTCCCCAAAAACAATCGTCTCGTCAATACAAGTAAAAGGGGTTTTGAATCATTCAAATAGGATGCTTCTTGTGACCAAAAACTGTCATTTTTGAACATTTAGCTCCGTATCTCCGAAACAGCTAAACCTGTCTCTGGCTTAAAAAAACATCACAATTTCTCCCCATCATTACGAATTGAATCAATCAAATCAGATGCTCATTGCTCTCAGAAACTCGATTTCTATTTTCTGCACTCTGTTCTTCATATCTCCGAAACGACTAGACCTAATCAGCACGTTTCATCTCCCCATCAGTGGAAATCGAATGTTTTTTGAATAAATCAAATCGGTTGATCTGTGCGACCGAATCGTGAACGAAAAATTGTATCCATACATACATACATACATACATGTATGTTTGTATGTATGGATAAAATTTTTCGTTCACGAACGTCTGCAGACGTTCAGAAACCTTCAATCTTCAAAACCTGAAGATATGCAAAACATTTTCTTTTTCAATTTTTGGACGATTACTATAACTCACCCTACGGGAAGTTATTAAATTCAAAATTGAAGTGATTAACTTGATTGAAGTTTGAAAAAAAATTAATAGTAAAATTATAGAAAAGCGGAGAATTGTGCGAAGAGAAATTTGATCATTTAATGAAATATTGAATATTGTTATATTAACACTAAACTTACCAAGTACCAGTCAAATTGGTCGTTTGCAAATTTTTGTAAAACTTACATACTTTTAAATGTAATGTAACTCTTATCAAGCTATATGACAATTCTTACTATAAGCGAATAATATGTATCTATGATCGAAAAAAAAGTTGTTCTGTGGCCAAACGATTTCGTAAAATTCACAAAATTATTTTATATTGGCAACTTAAAAACGGCTCATGTAGAATAATTGAAGAGTATAAGAAGGGGTTTAGAAGAATAATAACAAAAATTACAATCGAAATACGCGACAGAATTTGAAGAGACAGTGTTAAGTCTTCAACTAAAAAAGAACTACAAACTTCGTCTCTGGTGAAGCATACATTCTAGATGTGAATATAGATGATATAAATAGTTCGGCAGCAATCGCACAAAATATAGCTCATAAATCTCATAAAAAACATTGGACCATATAACCCTAGAAACAAAGCATACAAAGTTCACTTTTCGTTGAAAATTGATATGCTGGGTTCTATTTAGGTGAGAATGTAAATGTATAAAAACTAAACTATTTCACTTGACAATACGACTAAAAATGAAAAAAAAAAAAGATTATAACTTACATTGAGAAAGAAATGGTTTAAAATCATTTGGCCATATAGTTTGTCCTTCTTTATTGTAATACTTTTCTGCTAATACCTGCAAACATTTTTTAGAAGACCAAACTTGAGTATTTGGAGAAAGAGCTTCTTTCAAAGCAGTACTCAGAGCTGAGGATAATATTTTACGAGTACGTTCCGTAATCATGCCTCGCTCATACAAAACCAACACAGGCGGATAACATGCTAGCAATGTTAATAACCTAGAACACTGATTATCATCAGTAAATTGCCCAAGATGAAATTCTCCAAAAGATGTTTCAAGCAAACAAATTCCATATTCACTAAATTTTTCATGATCCTGAAAACAAATCATCTTTTTTAAATGTATAAACTTAGATGAAGAAAAACAGAAATGAATGATTAGTTTGCACTTATGTTTTGCATAAAAATTTTAAATACTGAAACAGAATATAAGGTGACCGAGTATCTACATTTTTATAAAAATAAATGGTAAAAATTAAAACATCAACTGCAAAAAATAGTATTAAAGATTCTTACTTTTTCTATAACAACGAGCATATAGGCGGCCTGAGATTTTGATGGTTGTCCATTTTGTGCACTGTAGGTGACCGTTCCCTTGTTTGTAACTTGACACACCTCACGTTTCACTACTTTATCATATTTTGTTGCGCCACCTAATTTTTATATAAATATATGAGTAAGTTTTTGTGGGGCGATACATCAAAGAATAAAAAGCAAAGCTTTATAAATTAATCTTTTATTCCAAACGTTTCGATATTCAATTTAATGTCATCATCAGTGGATATTAACGTTTGTAGGTTACATCTAGAGAAGTGTACACAACACTAGAAATTAGCACTAACATTTATACAACTAACTTGTAAACACCATGAATATTTTATAATTTTTTGTATGTAAAAAGAAAAATGATAGTTTTATTTGAACAAAAATGTGAGTAAAGTTAGGTAGTTTCTGCCACAACTTCTGTACTGTGCGAGTTCCGAGGCTTATATATCGTTCCGAGGTTATAAATATTACTATTACTATTTTTACCAAAACAAAAACCCCTTTTAATATCGAACGACCTAAAAATCTAGTCTATCAAATTAATTGTCTAGATTGTAATTTAATTTACATAGGAGAAACAAGCCAGAACTTAATGAAACGTTTACAACAACATAAAAAAATTCAAAAAATCCAAAACAGTTTAAAACTATGATAGCAGAGCATCTTTATACTTTAAAACACAATATGGATTTTTCTAACCCGACTGTACTATAATTCGAACAAAATTTATTTAAACGAAGAATTATAGAAGGATCTTTTTTAACTATTTACAGCAATAAAACAATAAATAAACGGAATGAACTTAACACGCTCTGCGACACTAATCGCCTTTATTTAGATAGTATTTCCAAATTTCTCACAAAACAATAAAAACGACGCGCAAAGGATTCGCAATTTGTTCCACACATGTGCAGAATCTTGGTAAAAAATATTTTTTAAAAAGTTTTTTCTCCAATACATGTTCAACCAGTCTACAAACAACACACTATCCAATTGTGAATTTTTAAATTAGTATTTTGTGAAAATATTGTGTAATTACAAGTTTAATGTTTATAATACATAGTGTAGTTCATTACCATATCTTGATACCATGGATTATTATTATTTATTTTTTCTTTTCACTCCAATTCAATTGTTTTAGTTTTTAATTTTATTTGTGCCTTAAGGAAAATTGTTGTAACCGTTGTAAAGTATCAAAGAATTTTAAATGTTTTTAGCAAAATTAAAATTAAAATCCGAAACATTTTCGATATGTTAAATAAAATGATTTTTTAATTAAATAATTTTTTTTTGCCTTCCCCAGAAACTAATCATTTCTTCAAAACTATCGAAATAAAAAGTTTCATCGATATAACTTTTTCAACAGTTTATCACGAAGAAACGGCTCGGCGATCTTTGTCCGATACTAATTAGCTCGACTCCCGAATAATATATCTCGAATAGTTTTCGAATTTTTAAAATCGATTCAGAATTTTTGGCTCAGCCGATCGTATCAAAAATCTAACTAACGCGAGTGCTAATCAAGTTTCATCGAATGGCTTTTAAATTTTTTTAAATCGTCTCAAACGTTTGTAACGATGAAATTTTAACACACGTTAAAAAACGCTATTAATTTTTTCAAATTTTGACGGATTTAATTTTAAAAAAAATTTCATAGTAATCGTCGATTTTTTTTTCGACAGTTAATTACAAGAACTCGCGCCAGGTAATCTTTACCAAAAACTAATCGATTCTCAACCAATATCTTTAGAACGGTTTTCGAATTTTTAAAAACGATTCAAAATTGCAGGCTAAACGTGCACGAAAAAATTTTGTAACAAAAAAAAAAAAAAAAAAAAATTACAAAGAATCGACTTGGCTGATCGCCGCGAAAAACTGATAATCCTCATCGAGTTAAATCGAATGGCTTTTAAATTTTTGAAATCGGCCCAGCCGTTTTTGAGAACACATCGGCAAAATGTCAAAAATCTGTTTACATACACACACACACACCGAAAAAAGTTATTGGATCTAAACGATCTAATTATTCACTCATATTATCAAAAATTTTCTTTGAATTGGATCGGATGCCACAAGTGGAAAGGATATTGAAATAAAAAAAACAAAACAAAAGCAATTGTTTCTTCAACACGAGCAGATTTTTTTTTTAATCATTCAAATCCGATGCTTAATTCTCTAAAAAACTGCCATTTTTTGCACATTTAGCTCCGTATCTTCGAAATAGCTGAACCTGACTTTGCCAAAAACTCATCACTTCTCCCAAACATTACAAGTTGAATGGGTTTTGGATCATACAAATCGGATGCTGCGTTCTCTTAAAAACCCGATTTCCATTTTCTGCACTCTGTGCGCGAATCTTTGCCAAAAACTAATCAGCACATCCCACTATCAATAATAATCGAATGTTTTTTGAATCATTCAAATCGAAAAATTCGATGAAAAATTGCGGACACACACAAAAATATTTTTAAGGTATGCCTAAATGTTCAGAAACCTTCAAAACATGAATATATGCAAAAAAATTTACTTTCGATTTTTGGACGATAACAATAACTTATCCTACGGGAAGTTAATAAGCTTTCAATACTTACAACATGCCTAATATACTGTTATATATCCATCACCAATCGCAATTTTTATTTTATTATATTCTTATTAGCTATATAAAATTGATTACAACCAATTTCATACTTCAATCAAATTTTACCTGTTTTGAACAAAGTCCATTACGAGACATACAATTTCTGAATCGAATTAAAAGGAATGGATCCGTTTGCCCTATTGTATTTGTAAATTGAATCAAAAGATACTTACTGTAATATTGGATTTGTTTAGATATATGAGAATAAATATTGTATATATTTATATACTTTTAAGATCAAAATAATAAATATTCAACATATATTACCTTTTTTGACCCTTTCAGCCATCATGTCTGGAGTTTCTGTTTGTTCCACTCGCGCTACTTTATACCCTCGTTCAACAAGACTTGTTGACATCCTCGCAAATGCACTTTCTGGAAATCCAGAATGTGCAAATTCACCACGCATATATGTGAAACCCAATTCATTTACACCAACTACAGCATCCATGTGATATAACTCATAAAATTTTCCAACTTTGAAAAATAATACACAGTCAAAATGCTTGCTTTTAATTTCCCACCATTGACGCATGGCCTGAAAAATGTGATTGGTACCAATCAATTAAATCTCTATCAGAATTAAACACATTCAACACGTTCAATTAATTCAATTTATAAAAGTCTTCATAATTGATTCAACTATGCAGTAAAGACCTTTTTTTGAACAGTGAATAAAATGCACATATTTCTACTTACTTAATAATAATTTATACTTACTGGTGTTTGCTTATTCTTAAAATCTTCAGGAACATATAAAGTTGTAGGATCATAATTAGGATCCCCAACTTTTCTCCTTTTCAAATCACGTATGTTTTCAGCTTTAAGAAACTCTAATTTATGATGAGTCCATGATCCAGTTTCGAATTCGACAGCAGGTTTTATATCTGCTGTATTATTTGATATTTTTTCCTCTAAGTTTTGAAATCGGGAATGATCTATGCTTGCTCTTTTCGAATCTTCATCTTTTGTAAATGAAAAGTCTAGCAATAAACTGTTTTGCTGTCAAATTAGAAAAACGAAATAATTAATACAGTTTCATAAAATATCCTATCAGAAATTCCTATCATAGTAATTAAAAAATACTAAAAAATATGACAATGCCAATATCAATGTGAAATAGCCCATTTCAAGCATTGCGAAGGCATATTCTTGAAATGCTTATTTCCAGCCAAATGCCAAAAGGTACATAATAGCTTATTTTTATTTCGACTATTTGGTCTATATTTTCAAGTGAAAATGCCATCGTTACTGCAAGATGTTAGGTAGTCCAGAGCGGAGTTGGAACACACAACCCTGTTCACAAAAGACATTGCGTCATGTAAGTATATATTTGATAAACACATAGATGATAAAACGTTTTCAGGCATCCATCAAAATTTAGAAGTTATTTAAAAAATGTTTAGTGAACAAAAAAGGCTATTAAAACTGCAAACGTTTTTTAATTTTAATTATCATTTTCCATTTTGCTTGATAAGTATATATCATCGTGTATAGTATCATCTTTGTTTTGAAAAAAAAAAATGTTATATGAATTATGACCTTATAAGAAAGCTAACATATATTTGTAAAAAGTATCTTATCTTATTACTTTATTATTTTATCTATACAGAAACCCATAAAATTGACGGGTATGGAAAAATGCATGTTTTTAATATGATAGTATATTTATCTGTAGGACCAGATAGACTTCGATGCTCTATCAACCTCTTGATTATAATGCTTTTGTTATTGATTATACTTTAGTTACAAGTAATTACACTATTTGTTGAATGTAATTGCATTATATTTTTGTATTAGTGACAAATTGTAAGTAATGAATGCGAGGCAATTCGCGATCGTATGGAATTGGCCATCTTTTATTTCGTTCACTTGTCGACCAGTTCAAACGTATACTGAGCTTGCAACATGCAATCTTCTGGCATAAATAGCATGTTAGCAACACGCTTGGCAACTTTTTCAAACTCTTAATTAATTTTTCGGCTAAGAAAAATAATAATAAAATCTTGCAATTGAAATACTAAACTTGTTTCAAGATATTTTCGATCCTGTACATTCTATTATGTGTTTCATAGTCACACAAAACGACATAATATTTCTCTTTCCATAAACAGTAAAACCCTTCAATACTTTTGAATATCATAAAAACAAAAAGCCTTCAACATTCCATAGATGCCAGAATTTATAAGTGAGAATTCGCTTCCATTTCTTTTTACTCTACATACTGACAAAAGCTTCTGTTCATTACACGAATACCCTTCTATTTCTCAATTCAAGAGATTCAGAATCTTAATATATACTATTGAGTATTTTATATTGAACCAAGTAATGTACCAATCGCATCTTCTGTGTTTAAAGTGACGCGATGATCTTCTTTGCTAGCTATATTTAATTGTAAATAAAATAATATAACCCACTTTAATTCATCTCAGACCTCTCATTACTATTATATTTACTATTTGAAAGTATAAAACTACAAATAAATCAAAATAATCATTACAAATGTAATCAGGTAGAGATAGGTATAACAAAAAAATTCAATATTTATACAGTTTATAATACAATACGAATTGGTTAAAATTAGTGGAATAGGTTTTTGAGCATTTCATTTTGAAGTTCAATTTTCTTCAAATCGGTGGGTTACGTATACCCAGTTAACAAAGCAAGACACTTTATTCCTGCAATTCGTCGACCAAACTCGGTATTCTGTCATACAAGTCACGTCTATCTATTCTAAAGAAATGTATGCTCCGTTTTCTAATCAATTGCTGTTTGATTTTGTTAGAGCAAACAAAATAAATAGTTCATGTCATACTCATAACTAACTATCTAACACACTAGAAGTGTGGGTGAAATCAAACAGGCCAAGCTGATATATGTAGCGGGTAAGAAATTCGAGATAGTAATATGCTCTTGCTTTGGGCAAAACCCCCATTATATAATTAAATTTAAACTATATTTTTATTTAAAATGTAAATCAAAGGAATTTAAATTATTAGAAAAAGTTTATTCAGAAAGGAATAAACAACATAAAATTAAGAGAAAATTCAAAACGGTTTAAAATTTCGGTATCCAAGTATAAACATTTTTTATTAGATTTTAGTAAACTTTATATAGTTTTGATTAATGTAAAAGAATTGTAATGTCTGAAATACAAATTAAGTTATCAAAATACTAAAGTTCACAATTTTAAGAACAAATTCTTCAAAAGTTCAATATGCAAATATGATTCATAGTTATTACTGGATTTTGGTAAATTTTATCTAGTTTTTACTGATTTACATAAAACAATTTCCAAGGTATTTAAAAAAATGTTTAAAATTCATATATTTTTAAATATATTACTAGAAAAATGTTCCAAAGAGATTTATTCAAATGATAAACAAGTTGACTTGTAAAACAAATTCCAAATGAATAATATGTCTTTATGAAAAGAGCTTTTTTAAAAAATATTATTATTTTATTTTTATTTTGTTTAATTAAATATTTATTAAAAATTGTCTTAACTTGATGTTATTCTATAATATATATATATACGAGGTCTGTTCAAAAAGTACCCGGTATTTTCGTTTTTTCAAAAAAATATTTATTTATTCGTCTACATTAATGTGGTCCCCTTCAAAGTAGTCCCCCCCAGATATAATACACTTATGCCAGCGTTTTTTCCAATTTTCGAAGCACCCTTGATATTCACTTTTTGATATGTCCTTGAGCACTCTCAGCGATTCGGCCTTTATTTCTTCAATCGAGGAAAACCGCCGTCATTTCATGGGTCTCTTCAACTTTGGGAATAGGAAAAAGTCACACGGAGCCATATCTGGTGAATTTTTGCACTTTGCAACACTTTATTTCATTTTTTACGCAAAATTTAATACAAATTCTTTGACTTTTCAATTCTTCCATTGTAAAAATCGCTCAGAAAAACACGTCGAACCTTAGCGACTACCACAGACAAAGTAAACAGTGAATATAGCTGAAAATTTCATCATACTTTAGGGGCATGTATACCAACACAATAAAAAAAAAATTTTGACAATCAGACACTCCAGACCCGCGAAATTTAATTATTAGTAATTCCGGGTACTTTTTGAACAGACCTCGTATATATATATATATATATATATATATATATATATATATATATATATATTTCAAAGTAACTAGCAGCCCATTCGTCGAAATAAAAAAGGTATAAAGTATAAAAACTTTTATTTATGCGTTTCGACACAAGATGCGTGTCATCATTCAGCAACTACAACAATTTGAAAATTTTATTAACTAATATGAACAACAATATAGATTATTATAGCATAGAGAAACATTATACACACCACAGGACAAAAACACTCAACAAAAATTTATTTTTAAAAAATTAAACTTAATAACATATTAGAGAAAAACATTTTTTTAGAAAAAATTATGTATAACTACAAGATTTGAAAACTAATTTGACTAAAAGTTATGAAATGCATAATTGTGAAGCGAGAAACACGCCCATACCGAGCATCCAGACTCGACTGAATTATTTCAATAGGCGTATTGATAGGAATGGGAGGGGACGCATCAAGGACAAATTCTCGAGACACGAAAACGCCTCGAACACAGTGCTTTAACTGGAATTGATCAAAAGAAAACAGCAAACCATGTAAAAGTTAGAACAAGAAAAAACAATATTGTAAAAAATAATATAAAAGAGATAAGCAAATTAATTTTTTGTTTTTTTAATAAAATCAATAACAATCTGGTAACTATCATGTAAAAGGTGGGATGAATTGCGTTTATTAACACAAGAGGAGGAATTTAATGAAATAAAAAAGGATTCAGCAAATTTTCTAAGGTCACTATTTTTTTCGATATAAAGGATAACCGGATGTGAAGTGTTAAAAGTGTGATTGAGATTGAGCATATGATCTGAAAACATCGTTTTGAATTGGTTTGGATTTTTTGAATTATTCGACACGCATCTTGTGTCGAAACGTATAAATAAAAGTTTTTATACTTTATACCTTTTTTATTTCGACGAATGGGCTGCTAGTTACTTTGAAATATGTTTCAACGTCGAAAAAACTATCAAGATATATATATATATATATATATATATATATATATATATATATATTAGGGTGGTCCTTAGAATGGTCATTTTCGAATTTCCTTGCTCCCAGGGGCTCAAATGGTTCCAAATTGATAAAAAACAATCCTCAGAAAGTTGTAGCTCTTAATATTAACGTTTAGATAGAGCGCAATTCAATCAAAGTTTTGTATGGAAATAGCATGGAAAAATTTTCAAAAATTTTAAAAATGTTTTTTAGATGCAATTTAGCGAACAAATGAATGAATAAAACTCATTCATTTGTCGATAAGTTATACCTAAAACATTTTTTTTAACTTTCAAAATTTTTTCCATGCTCTTTCCATACAAACTTTGATTGAATTGCGCTCTATCTAAACGTTAATATTAAGAGCTAAAACTTTCAGAGAATTGTTTTTTATCTATTTGGAACCATTTGAGCCCCTGGGAGCAAGGAAATTCGAAAATGACCATTTTAAGGACCACCCTAATATATATATATATATATATATATATATATATATATATATATATATATATATATATATATAGGGGTCAAAAAAAGTCTGTTATGATTTTCAGATACAGTAAAACCTCGATTATCCGAACATTGGTCATACGAATTTGCGATTATCCAGACTACCAACTGCGACTAATTTATATGCATGTACATACCTACAATTCGAATTTTCGCATGATAAGTGCTGCAGTTTAGTACATGTATGTAATGTAATCTAAGAAAATATATATGTACATACATAAGGAAGTTTCAATTTCCTAATAAACAATATTTTCGTTGATATCTTTGTATGTATTTTATATTTTTAATAAATACACAACATTATTCTTTATACATTCAATTATCCGGATTTTTGATTATCCGGATGCCTATCGACAACAATTAGTCCGGTTAATCAAGGTTTTACCGTACTAAGAATAAAATAAGATAATTTGCTGAAGAAACCATCCCTCTAAAATGAGTTCTGATGTCTCTTGCATTGACCCAAAGATGAAGGTTGAATTTTCAAAGATTTCATTTTGAGCCATTTAGGGTGCCACAATCGCATCCAAATGTATGACCGACCCCCACTAACTTTGGAAGGCCAACCCACCCATGCCCTTGGTTCACCCCCTGGAACCACCCCTGAGGGGCCCATAATATAAAAATTGCATCATTTTTGGTACTTTACATGACAAAAATTAACGATTTATTTAGAACCATAAAATTTGAATGATTTTTTTTTTGTGTGTGTATGAATGAATATCCAAAAAAATAGTTTAAATTTTTTTTTTGCTGAGTAAAATACCAAAAACGATTTTTTGCAATTTTTGCAAATACTCAGAACAGGTCCCATCAGGAGAGACCTCCCAGATGCACTCTAAATGGGTCAAAATGGAATTTTTTGAAATTCAACCCCTATCTTTGGGTCAATGCACGGGACATGATAATTCATTCTACAGATATGGTTTCTTCAGCAAAGTATCTTATTTTGATCCCTGGTATCCAAAAATCATATGTGCCTAAGTGACTTTTAAATCGTCCCAAAGCAAAGTAAAGATCAGAATTGAATATATGTACCTTACTTGAAGTGTCATGAATGTTGACATCACCTGAAATATAATACTTAGGTTAAGGATCGAAAATATTCATTCGTCCATATATTTTATCATACTTTTATTTTCGACGTCAGAATCGCTTTCACTCAATACTCTATATCTCTTTTTGTTGGGTTGTATCGAACAATCATCAGAATCACTGCCGGCATCTTGTCTGGGCCGTTTATCTACATTTTATTTATTATCATTTTAAATCATTGTTTAAATTATAATTTAGTTTAAAATAACAATCAAATTTAAACTTTACTACCTATATTAGATATTTTTCGTTCAAGAGTTTTTGGAGTTGATGGTGCAGACCTAGGCGACTTCGAGAAATAATTGAGCAGAGTGTTACCTAAACTATTTCTTTTCGACATTTCCACAAATTTATAATCTAAATATTCAGAAACAGAAAATGAGATTCACATATAATTTGACAACAAACTGAAATGATGTACCCGCCAAAGCGATGTTCAAGGCATTACGAGATTAACTCACATCACAACACAAGACTGAACTTTTCGATTATGTATTAACGGCGACCGATATGGACATAACGAACCGTTTGCCTTCCGTTAACACCGTATTGTCTAAACCATAGATAATCAAGTATAATAGATCGCTATGTCTGGCGATTTGACGTTACCTCGATTGAAATACAAATTTTTAAAAATAGATGGCAGCACATGTAAAATATTTAAATTAACCCCTGGTATTACTTCTAAATTTGTACGTATCGTATACAGCCCAAAAAACATGAATTATTTTTAATATTGGAAATAAGAATAAATCATAGGAAATACAAAATATATATTTTCAAATATATTACATATTTTTAAAGAACAATTAAAATTATGTTTATATTAACAATTATAATTACAACTATGGAATGTTTGAAAATATAATTATTATACATATTTATAAGTATCTTAATAATATTTCAAAAACTAAAGATCTAAGTGGAGAAAACCACAGCGGTATTTAACTAACTAACCAGAAATAACTGACTAATATTAATATCTCAATGACTAATATTATTATATTAAAAACTTAAAAACTAAGAAGAAACTAAAAGCACAGAAGCACAAGATGAAATATCAAACTTATTGTTAGAAGGAATGACAAATAATACAAAAATTTAGAAGGTTAAAAAAAACAGATAATTTGTTAAAAAGTACAAATACTTCACAAGCAAACAAGTCCTAAAGACATAAAATATATATTGATATCAAAATTGAGAGAAATCCAAATTCCTAGGATTAAAACTCATTTACGAAACATTGTTCTTTATTAATTCTGCATGTAATAGTTATTTTGCTACCTAATAAATTAATAGTAAAGTTGCATTTAACAAAACCTTTGAATAGTTTCTGTATCGGTGTTTTATAACATTACATTTAATCATGTTTCATTATGAAATCATTATCATTGAAATTACCATAAAATATCAACAAAATGTTTTATGCACATACAATTGTTCATGAATTGAAAGATAAAAGCAATATTTTTGACTCACAAGGTCAGTAACAAATATATTTTGAATTTAAACATTATATTGGGATGTTGCTCAAGTTTTATTTGAAGATTATTATAACACAAAATATTATGTATGGTATAGACTCGCTTTATAAGTGTTTACATTTGCTAATATAATAGATAATATCTTATTAAATATAACAATGAACTTATGTTCATGAACATTTAAACCAATACTAAATAACTGTTTTGCAACATCAACAATATGAGATTCAATCCAATCATATAACAATTCCGAAGATAATGGTATTTCATCAAACATCAAAACACAGAATTTGCTACTAATACTTTTTAAGAGAAATAGCTGAACCTAATGTTTTAAATAGACACTCATTAATACCGCTATACTATTGTATCTCTGAATGCAACTTTCTCAATGTTTGAGGACATGGCAAAAAATTTGTCTTCAAAAATAGAACGCCTTTGGAGATTATTTGTATGACTTAATTTTTAAATTATTGCATTGTTAATGAATCCTTCTTGTCATTACATCTTGCATTCCTTAGTTGTCAAAAGTGCTCCTAGGCTTTGTTCGTAAGTACATTTTGCAGCAATTTGCAGGTACCCCCAATACACCTATTCAATATAATAACATGTTGAAATATCATATTTGATTATATATAATTAGTGTTGCAATTATTATAAAAAAATAACTTTCCGGGAACTGGTATTGGAATAGCTGAATATTTTAACTTGCACTTGGCACTTTTTTGGGTACTATAAAAACACTTTGCCATATTAAATTTCACTTAAATGTTCACTTAAACACAATTAATTCATTAGAAACAATTTTAGGTTATTCGTACGATTCGTATTCGCTCCGAGCGTGACTGCAGCGCCGTAATAAATATGAACTAATTGGGGTTATCAGTGTGTGGTTTTCATGGGTTTTACATGTTTGTTAAAGAAAAAAGATATTAAATAATTGTTATAAATAATAATAAACAAGATACAGTAATAATGTGAACGCTGAATGTTTATTGAAATTATTAAATTTACTTCAACGTACTTAAAACATTGTTAAGTATAATGATTAATTAATTAAAGAAATGCAGTAAATATTTGTAAGGTTAAGTGCCTCAAAGCTTATGTCATAAACTCGGAATAGTTCTTAATAAAAACAATATAATAATGATAAATAATATTTTATCAATAGAATAAGTAAATAGTAAAATTTATTCAATTTTTTGGTCAAACTAAAGACTTAGACATTATTATAAAGACATAATTTAGACATTATTATAAAGACAAGACCCATCAAATAAAATTGCAGGAAAAAAACTATATTAACTTTTCGAAATTAACTTATTGAAGGAAATATTGTTGACAAGTAGGTAGGACTCAATACCTCGACCGATTCACTGCAAATGCTTGGGAACCCACGGTGATCCATCAACACTACAAATATATATTTCGCATTATTTCAGCATTGTATTAATTAAACTGTTTGCAAAATAAACATTTTTTCGCTATGTGATAACTTTTATTTTTCTTTTAATCATAAAATTACAATTATTATATAATAAAATGTAATTAATATATAGATAATAGTTATACATAATCAATATACAATATATAAATATGTATTTTTCATTATTTCAGGCTTGTATTAATTACATTGTTTTACAAAACAATTTTTTAGTAAGCATTAAATTTTGATAATACAACAATTTATTGACTTATAATTTTTCTTTTTGCTAAACATAACAATTTTACAACTATTCATAATACTCCGAATTGTATTTTTATAACAATAAGGTTATGATACTTACTTTATTTTTCTAACCGCTGCGATCCACTTTTCCCGTTGATTTTCTTTCCACTTAGCTGTAGAAAATGTATAGAATTTGCAGTCACTTTTTCTGCTGGTATTTCTACAGCCCACTACAGAACAGCTATGGTGGCTCATTTTTAATTATCTTATTTAAATTTGAAATAAATAAATATTTTATGTGTTTTTGTTTAAAATTTTGTTTATAATAGCCCCTTTTAGTGCTCCAAGTTAGCCACTACGAACGCTTCGGTCGATTTGACTTCCCCTTCCATGCCTTCGCACATAGCCAATAGGGATCAAATGCTTGACAGCGCTTGACAGCCTCGCGTGTCAACTTGCACGAAGCTGAACGATTTGTACTTGAAATTGGCACACATGAGCCATCTGTTTTTAAAAATTGACACTACTCAAGACCAAAACAGTGCAACGCGTATTTGTTCGAAGATAACTCCCCATAGTCTAAACTCTTCTTTTATCTATGACTTTTATCTATGACTAAAAGAAGAGTTTAGACTATGGGGAGTTATCTTCGAACAAATACGCGTTGCACCATAGATAAAAGAAGAGTATATAGATCGCTCTCTCGGGCCATATTTCGTTGCCACATTCCTGTGTTAGTTGAAGCCCCGCGCTACAGATGGCACTAGTCGCCTGAACGGGTGCGTATAAAAAATACTATAGAAATGAACCAAAATTATATGGACCGTTTTAATTCAAAATTTAAAAAAAGAAAAATTGAAAAAAAAAAAAATTTTGAAGCATTTATTTTTCACAAAAACATTCTACATTATATCTACATAGTTCTCTTTATAAACAAAGCACACATAGCATAAAAATGTACATAAATATACACATTATCCACAATGTATATATATATATAACATTATATATGATTATAATAGATGGTAGTAAGCTGTAAAAACTATGTGCGAAAAGCATAAAAATGTACTTAAATGTACACCCTATCCACAATGTATATATATATATACAAATATATATATATATATATATATATATATACATATATATATATATATATATATATATATATATATATATATATATATATATATACATATATATATATATATATATATATATGTGTGTGTGTAATATCATTTTAGCATATCAGCCTTTCAAGCTGAGCACAAAAAGAATAGAAATGTACATGAATGTATATATTATTTATATATATACATATACATATATAACCACAATTCTTTGATTGATATTGATTCAGATCAATATATAACCAATATATATATATATATATATATATATATATATATATATTTACATATATATTTATTTTGATTAACATTAAGTTACATAATATCTATGATGTACAGTCTCTATTTGGGAATCTTTTCTGCGCTATTGTTAATGTGCATTCAAATGTTTGTTCAAAATGTCATTATTATCATTGTCTTAAAGAAAAACAACAATCATTGATATTATTATAACAGTACTTAATAGTTTTCTTATAGCATCTACAATAAGACATTTTAGAGTAAAGCTATTGACATCTCTTTCAGAATAGTCAAATGCAATAAGCAAGTGCACATTAAGGGTGTTTTATCCCTTTGCTTTTTAGAATTTTATCATTAATCATGATTATACTTTGCCTGTCATTTGACAGTTCCTGAAAATCTATACAATGTGATTCCCTTTATCATCATTAAACAACACAGATAATAATATTTCTTGTAATATCAAAATGAAATTATTAATACTTAAAAACTTTTCCTGTGACATAGCCAAACCTAAATTAACCTTTGCACTAGCTAGAATTTCACCATTAATTGAGAATTTCCTTTCACTTACGATTATATCATTAGTGTTTTTAGTATGTTCTCCAAACTGACTTAATATATAATTACGAGTCGTACTGTTCAATATTAGTGGGAGATCAGCAAAGATTTCAGCACATTTCAGACTTCATTCTTATTGTTTTTTCCTGTGTATTCATTCATCTCATATCAATACTTGTACACTTGTGAATGTGTTTAGTAAACCGTCTAAACATTTTACATTTGAACGTATTTTCCTTTTATACTGCTGAAAAAATCGATGTAGAATTATTAGTTATGATCCTACATTATTAGAACAAGATTAATTTATATTTAGTTATTTAATAACATACCTTTCAGAGAGCTGACAGGAATTCTCTCTGTCTATTTATAACCTTAAAATTTCTAGTATTGATATAGTTAAATGTCTCAATTATTTCTGAATTATTAAACTGTAATGAAAAATCATATCAGAATAGTACAATCAAATGAAAGTAATTCGAAGTATGCATATTAATAAAAGTACTCACTTAGATTGAAAGCCGGCAAATATTATTACTTATTTTACTTTTACTTCGTCGTTTCTCGCTGGAACTACATAATACATGCATTTTTCTTGGTATTTCTTCTTCGTTAAACAATGCACTTCGACAGCTTATTTGTTTTTTACTCTAACAAGCATTTATTATATTGTCTAGGTTATCTCTCCATGAAAAATTTATTACAATGGACGCCATGTTTAATTTAAGTATCTGTCATATGTCAAATTCGATTTCAAAGTGAAAAAAAAAAAAAAAAAAAAAAAACAAGCGCGACCGGCGGCAGGGGCTCTAACTAAACTCGGGTTACAGACGTTTGTTCCGAGATTACCGGCCATGCGTTGCACTGTTTTGGTCTTGAGTAGTGTCAATTTTTAAAAACAGATGGCTCATGTGTGCCAATTTCAAGTACAAATCGTTTATCTATGACTTAAAGGTCGATTCACATACGACTAGATAATATTAGAATATGATTAGAATCATACATAGATATGGTGTATGATAAACTTAAATGAAACGCCGATGTTGTCTTAGTCATGTATTATTAACAACTATATTTTATATAAAAATAAAGAATAAAATTAAAAGCTCAAAATGGCGGGTCAAAAGCCCCCCTATCAGATTTTGGTTATTTGTAAAGCACACCGTTAGATGACGACATAATTAATTATATTTTATCCACATGGGTAAAACGTTAAATGGTCAAAAACGCCATGTTTAATTTAAGTATCTGTCATATGTCAAATTCGATTTCAAAGTGAAAAAAAAAAAAAAAAAAAAAAAAACAAGCGCGACCGGCGGCAGGGGCTCTAACTAAACTCGGGTTACAGACGTTTGTTCCGAGATTACCGGCCATGCGTTGCACTGTTTTGGTCTTGAGTAGTGTCAATTTTTAAAAACAGATGGCTCATGTGTGCCAATTTCAAGTACAAATCGTTTATCTATGACTTAAAGGTCGATTCACATACGACTAGATAATATTAGAATATGATTAGAATCATACATAGATATGGTGTATGATAAACTTAAATGAAACGCCGATGTTGTCTTAGTCATGTATTATTAACAACTATATTTTATATAAAAATAAAGAATAAAATTAAAAGCTCAAAATGGCGGGTCAAAAGCCCCCCTATCAGATTTTGGTTATTTGTAAAGCACACCGTTAGATGACGACATAATTAATTATATTTTATCCACATGGGTAAAACGTTAAATGGTCAAAAACAGATTTGGCCAGTCTTGAAAAATTCGTGGTAATCCATAAGTTGTTACCGCGTAGAAACTTCACATTTTTAAATTGAAATTTTTTGCAGAAGCGTAATTTAAATAAAACGATGGACGGCGGCTCATACGTCAAATATCAAACGTTTTTGACAGATGATGTTCAATTACATTTAATAGGATGTTTTAGGTGAATATTATTTAATTATGATTAAATTGTAGTGAGTAGTTTTGTTTGTAGTTTTATTTATACACAAAAACGGTATTAAACGGGCCGCAAGTGTTACTAGAAACTCAAAATATCAACTTTCTTGAAATGCTAATATGAAAATGCACTTTTTGGCGTTATAGCACTCTCTTTTTGCAAATCATATTTTTCTCAAATACGGTGCTCTCAAAGATCTCACTTGTATAATTATATACTCATTGGTATTTATAAAGCATTTTGAGATTATGTTATTGTTATTTATTTTATTTAAATTCAGAACCTAAATTTGGAATCGATCAAAAGGTGGTTTTGTCGAATAACTTATTCTCAGTTATATTAGGTGCGCAACTAAGTTCTCGCTGTTTTTCGATAAAAATGTGACTTTATTATAAAAAAAACTGTTACATTTGATTTATTCAAAGTATTGCCCATCGTTATACATATATTTTACCCATCTTTCTGGCAGAGCACGAATACCTAGACGCCAGAAGTGTTCGTCTTTTGAGGCTATCCACGAATCAAGTCATTTTCTATCATATAAAATTTCTGTGTGAGTGTATGCGTATGAGCGTGTATGTGTGTGTGTGTTCGGATACAAATTTTCGTCGACGGAGAACACGGATGAAGCGATTTAAATAATTCATAAAACATTCGATTCGTATTGACAAGGAGACGTGCTGATTAGTTTTTGGCAAAGGCATGTTGAGCCGTTTCGAAGATACAAGGCAAAAAGTGTCAAAAAGGTAATAGATTTTTTGAGAGAATGGAGCGTCTGATTTTAATAATTCAAAAAACCTTTTACTTGTATTGACAAGATGAAGAACTGATTAAATTTTTGAGAAGGCATGTCTAGCCGTTTCGGAGATCTAGTAAAAAACGTAAAAAATATGCCATTTGGCTTTTATATAAATAAAATAAAATAATTCTTTTTTTTTCCACTTGGCTATCCCTTAATTTTTACCCCGCAATGAGATTTTTTTTTAAAAATAGCAAAAAACATTTCTACAATGATTAATTAATCATTAAAATTAAGTAGCTGAGAAGTAAAAATTTAACTGAACATGTTTGAACAGTTATTTATTTAATAAAATGTGATGTAGTTGCTGTGGTTTTCACAATGCTTGCTAAGTCAAATTGAACCTTTGTTACAAACTACACTTTCTTGAATATTGTGAATTAATTTTCTTTATATTATTTTTTTACATGAACAAAAACAATTTTACTGATGTTTCCACTATAGCTTAACCACCAACTAACATTTAGTATTTTTCACTATACTAACTACAAGTAATGTGTGCAACAAAACGGCATTTTTGAGTTTAAGCTTAAATTAAGATTTTTAATTAGATGTATAATACAGCAACACATGATTGGGTACAGCTGGTCACTTACAAAAAATCTAACTTTTCCATACTTTGTTTCTGCCAATTAATAATATACTTCCAATATAAATAAAAAAAAAAATAAAAATTGCGCACCCATGTGTATGTTGACGATTTAAATCTGAAGATCCAATGGCTGCTTAAAACAGAAAACTAGGTATCATGTGAACCTATTCACAAAGTTTGCAAAAAGCACAGCTGCAAATTCTTTCTGAGTTTTAAAAATCACTGGATTCACTTGGCATGCCACTTCTTAAAATATTTTCAATGCTTAACAAAAAGTTCCAGCGCAAACAATTTCTGTTCACGATTTTAATTTAAGCACACCTTAATTTGCACTCTTACTGTACTGTATACTGTATATCATACTTATCTTTTATATAGCCAACTAAAAATGACAAAATATGGCTATTCAAAATTATGTAGTGAAATGAACTATACAATACCTGATATAACTTAAGAATCAAACCAGGAATTAAAACCAATTAAGTTAAAAATTTAACTATTAGCTGTTAATTGTGATTTACATATTATATTTTTCATAAATATATAAATATATTAGATTTAATTACAAAATATTATAAAACCACTTATAGTGCATTTATTTGTAATTACGTTTGTGCCCAAGGAGGTGACATCGGAGTAGGATTTTGTAAATATGACATGACTACTGCACTAACACTTAACATAAACGAACTCAAAATTTGTTTGGCATCATCACTAACCCGAGAGTTAGCAAAGGATATACAAGAGCAGTATAGAGCCAACCATGCAGACCATTTTAAACGCATCATTAAACCGCACATGGAGAATATCATACCTAAACATGAACAATATTTAGTTTCATATGGTAAAATAAAAATCAAAGAGATGATGTTATACCCAATATGTTCATATAATCTGGTGTTAAATCCTCATTTGTTTCACCTTGTCCATTTGTCGTTGGTGGCTTATACCGATTTATTCTATCGGGACGCCGAAAATCCGGATGAGAATTCATTATTATTTAGATTATTAACCGTGTGTTTCAACGATTGCACCAGAAAAAGTAGGCGGAGTTAAAATACATGCAATAGTTATCATATAATAAATAGGATTCCGACAGGACGACGATTCACATACAGTTCATATGACTAGGAAATTATCATGATTTTTGACATATTGACAAGCATAGGTAAAAGAAAGACACGGTTCCTCATGCAGTCACTGGCGGCCATTTTTTGACACGACAATATACTTCATGAAGAGGTGACAAACAAAGCAGGCGTACCAATATAAAAGTGTAAATAACCCTAGTACATAATGACAGTTCATAGACGTCAATGTGACAGTTACAATTTAATTTCAGCTCTCATATATTAATGTATATCAATATATTATATATATTTAATTTTTCTCTACGATCATAATATTACGTAGAGGATTTAGTACTGTCATAGTATATAGTAATAATCATATTGAGTCTGAAAGTGGTAAAATGTAGTACTTATGTAAGAAGTTTTATTCAGTAAGTTAAATAAACGTACAACTGTTTTCTCCGAAAAAGTTCTTGTATAAAAATGTGAATAATAATCTGTCGAAATAGTTGTGACGTGCATTTATATACCTGAATTTTGTTAAATTCTCAATCAATTAGGTGGAGTTCTGTAAGGTGCCACAAAGTTTTGTTCAGGCATTTGAAATTATTTTCAACCTTTTATAAAATTAACAGTACGTATGGTATTGAAAAATTGAACCTTATTTTGGTCAACAAATAAAAAATTAATGCGTTAACATAAGCTTTAGCATTGTTTTTTTTATCAAAAATATACTGTTTTTTATAAAAGAAGAAAAACTATTCATTTATAATAATAAAAATTTATTGAAATTATAGAACATATTAATATACATATATTTACAATTTAAAACCTATTTCCATAATATTGTTAAAGCATGGTATAATAAATATATTTATGCAAATAAAGCAAATACCAATCACATTTAATTAACATAATTAAATTATTTGTCGTTAGACACAAAAATGCACACATAAGCAGTGTGTTATGATACTGGCAAAGCTATATAATGTATAGATATTTACAATTTGAAACACATTTCCATAACTTGAATGAATGGCATAACTTTAAATGAATTATGCAAATAAAGCAAACATCAATAATAGTTAATTATGAAGATAATTAAATTATTTCCAGCATTAAATGCAAAGAATGCAAAGAATCGGCTACACTTCTTGAATCATTTTTATTTATAAAGGTATCATTTGGTGGTAACACCCGCCTTTTTATGGAAGCTCTCAGTGGTCTCAGTAATTTTTTGTTATAACAATCTTCATGTATGTTTTTTATAATAAAGTCATCATCTACGCCTGCTTTAATTTGATCTGGAAAAAATATATTACAAATGACAAAGAACTTACAACAATGTGATAATTGCATTTATGAAAATAAATTAATTATACCCTTGATGTTTCTGATTAAATTTTGATCCAGCCGCACATATTTTATCAAATTTTCATGTCCCACATGTGTCTTCCAGTAATCAACTTCAACATGTCCGTCATTATACACCTTGCACATAATTCGTGAGGGACAAGCATGCCCAATTTTTTTGCTACCCCTTAAACATGTTTCCTTTGTATGGTGACTGTGTGATCGATGGCAATTATAATATTGAATGGTGCAGCAATTGTCTTTTGTTATGTATGCTGCAGTGTCCTTCACATATGACGTAATACTGTTCTGTTCAATCTCAGTTTTCCAGCTGTAAAAATCTATAGCAAAAGATGAAATTATAGAAATGTTTGTTGAAAATCTTCATAATTAAAAGTTGACAAACCATTAATAGAAGAAAACAGTTTGTCTTTGTGTTCAATATTGATGTGATGATGACACTCAGTATGTTTTTGTAGTGCGCTGAACCGTGTGTAAGCATTCCCGCAATCCTCAATGGGGCAAGTAATTCTGAGAACCCTTGTAGAACCTATAAATGAACAATTATGGTAACTTTGTGGATGTAATATTAAATATATTTAAATAATACTTATATTTTAATACCTGTAAAATGTTCTGAGTACAGCGAAGCATTATCTTGGGGTCTGGGTCGCGTTGGGGTCACTGGAAAGAATGTGAGCGATCTGGATGATTGGAAAAGTAGTGGGGAAGATGGTTGTCGAATAAAGGAAACAGTATTGGAATTAGCGGTTGTCATATGAATTGGTGAAGCAGGAAGCGCATCCGAGTGGAAGGATGTTGTAGGAATTGGTGAAGCAGGAAGAGCATATGAATGGAAGGCTGTCGTTGGTATTGGTGAAGAAGGAAATGATGTAGAAGGATTTGGCAAAGCAGGAAGAGTTGTGTAAGAAGTTTGTGAAGCAGTAAGGGTACATGAATAAGAAGTAGTGGAAGGAATTAATGAAGAGGGTAGAGCATAAGAATGCAGCGCAAGGGATATTTCTGGATTACTTCGGGAATCATAAAAATACGTGCATTGGAGTTTGGAGTCTGTAGGAGATGTGCCTTTGTAATGAGGAAGGAGCATGCAAAATTTTTTGGCAAAATGTACATTCAAAATTTTGAAAGTACTGCTTAGGCTGTATGTGATGTACTAACCTGTTGTGACGGCAAAGAGAACTAGTGGAAGCAAAAGTTTTAAAGCAATGGATACATTGGTTTTACCTTTTCATATTGAATATAAAAAAGAAAGGGGTTGAACTATAGTATAAACCTAAACTAACTTAAGCTATGATTAAAAGATAACTTATGTATAAAAAAGAAATATGAACTAAAATATTAAACCTATAATATGAGCTAAAAGTAACGTAGGAATCAACTAACGAGATAAATATGAAATTCTTAAATGAAATGTAACCTAGCTATGAATTGAAATGCAACCTAACCTAAGTGATTAAAACGTACCTTATATATTTGTCTAAAAATAAAATAATGCAGGAATACCTACTTCTAAAGCGATCTAATAATTGTAAAATAGCTAGAACATAAATAGTAATATAATAACCCTAACCTATAAAACACGTAAAAACAAAGAAAAAGACCTTAACCTGTAAAAATATGAACAAAATAATAAACTTAGTAATTAAAAAAAATAAATGTTAATATAATAATGACGAGCAACACACGATTCACAAGAAAATTATACTAAAACCGTATTAATAACGCACAAAATAATTAAAAAACGAGGTAGCAAAAAACGCCGGAAAATAATAGACGAACAGAAGAACACATAGCACGAAAACCACACAAAATAAAACATAATAACGCTAAAATCCCATTCAACTTTGCAGCGAATGTGAAACACTTCTGACGTTTAATACAGCAAACTTCACACCCTAAAAAGGAACATTGTAGTGACTGCATAAGGACACTCATAAAGAAAGTAATAATGTTGACAGCATAGATGAAAGAAGAGCATAGATAGTATGGGTTTTTTACTTTTTATAGAGCGTGACAGCAGCGCCTATGCAGCACCGTAATAAATATGAACTAATTGTAGCCATCATTCTTATATTGTCTTATCTATGATTATTATATATCATTATTATATTATTCCTTATCTATGATTGTATTATATTATTCCTTATCTATGATTGTAGCCATAGCTATCATTATTATATTGTCTAGGGCTATCAGTGTGTGGTTTTCATGGGTTTTATATGTTTGTTAAAGAAAAAAGATATTAAATAATTGTTATAAATAATAATAAACAAGATACAGTAATAATGTGAACGCTGAATGTTTATTGAAATTATTAAATTTACTTCAACGTACTTAAAACATAATTAAGTATAATGATTAATTAAATAAAGAAATGCAGTAAACATTTTTAAGGTTAAGTGCCTCAAAGCTTAAGTCCTAATCTTGGAATAGTTCTTAATAAAGACAATATAATAATGATAAAAATATTTTAATAATCGAATAAGTAAATAATAAATTAATTTACTCATTTTTTTATTATTTTTGGTCAAACTAAAGACTTACAATGGACATTATTATAAAGACATGATTTGATTCCATCATCCATCAAATAAAATTGCAGGAAAAAAAAACTACATTAACCTTGCGAGGCTTGTAAATTGAAGGAAATATTGTTGGCAAGTAGGTACGACTCAATACCTCGTCCGATTTTTTTCTTCTAATGAAATGTTCACTGCAAATGCGATCATAGGGCTTGGGAACCCACGGCGGTGATCCATCAACACTACAAATCTATATTTTGCATTATTTCAGCATTGTATTAATTAAACTGTTTGCAAAATAAACATTTTAGCGCTATGTGATGACTTTTATTTTTCTTTTAATCATAAAATTACAATTATTATATAATAAAATGTAATTAATATATAGATAATAGTTATACAGAATCAATATGCAATATATAAACATATATTCTTTATTATTTCAGCCTTGTATTAATTACATTGTTTGCAAAACATTTTTTTCTAGGAAGCATTAAATTTTGATAATTTAACAATTTATTGACTTATAATTTTTCTTTTTGCTAAACATAACAATTTTACAACTATTTATAGTACTCCGAATTGAATTTTTATAAGAATAAAGTTATGATATTTACTTTTTTCTTCTAACCGCAGCGATCCACTTTTCCCGTTGATTTTCTTTCCACTTAGCTGTAGAAAATGTATAGAATTTGCAGTCACTTTTTCTGCTAGTATTTCTACAACCCACTATATACAACAGCTTTGGTGGCTCATTTTTAATTATCTTATTTAAATTTAAAATTAACAAATATTTTATGTGTTTTTGTTTAAAATTTCGGTTAATAGCTACATTTAATGCTCAAAGTAGCCACTACGAACGCTTCGGTCGATTTGACTTCCCCTTCCATGCCTTCGCACCTTTGCACATAGCCAATAGAATACTCTTCATTTATCTATGCATAGATAAAAGTTTAGATAAGTAAGCATAGTAGTAGGTCTTATACTTATATAATTATCTATGGTCTATGGTTTTACTTTAAATCCGTCATTTTTACTCTTCATCGTGGCGAGACGACTGCATGACAAGTGTCATCTATGGTAGAGGCTGACATATGTGCGAAATGCTAGAGACATCTGGTGGAAATAGGAATAGCAGTGTTCTAATTCAACCGTCAAGCATACTTTGACAGCTCATAATTTTTAAAAACACTGGCATGTTTAGGTATATCAAAGGGAAATCCAAATGTTTGAAACGAATATTTGCCGTATGCGCAATTTATAGTTTTTACACAGAAAACATCAATAACCACAATGTCAATGGACCCAGCAGAAGTGGAATTTTTGGCAGAAAAAGAAACAATTGAAGTTATTCCTAATTTTAGCTTCGACCCTGTACATCTAATATCAGGGAGTATTGGACCATTTAAAGCTGGTTTACCTCTAAATGTTCCTTTATGGTTAGCAGTCACTTTGAGACAGCAACAAAAATGCAGATTTGTTACCCCGGAATGGATGGATGTTACACTACTAGAAGAAGTTCGAGAAGAAGAGAAACAATCCAGGTATGAATGGTTTACCTGATTGTATTTGCAGTATTTGTATATCACAACTTAAATTTTTTATAAAAAGTGAGACAAATACTATTTGCTGGTATGTATTTTTTACTTTGCAGTTCAATATTATGTTTTATCGATTCCTATTGTATTTTATATTATTTTTTCCTCTTATATTATTTAAAACAATTTTATATTGTGTATATTTCATTTATTATTTTATATCTATTCAACTACCATTTGTATTTTTCCAGGTTCTTTACTAAAATGCCAAACCCTCATTACATGGTTGAAGCAAAGTTAATCTTAAACACTGCTGCAGAAGATATACCAAGAGCTGAAGAAATTAGAACAATAATTAAAGACATTTGGGATATAAGAATGGCAAAATTGAGGACTTCTATGGATGCATTCATTCGAGAAGGTGGATCATATGCCAAACTTGATCACTTAACAGCAATGGAAATAAATTCTGTGAGACCCCTTTTACCGCATGCCTTGGACCAGCTATTCAGGTTGCAAATGGTAAGTTTGTAATAATCTGTCTTCGATTTAAATATTGTTTTCTTTATAATATTAAATGTAGTCTCCTTAATATTTAAATTTTTATATAATAACTTGTGCATTATTCATTACAGGTACCAAAGTCATCAAATACAACACAAAATTCAACGTTGCTTAGTTCCTTTTCAAGTAAATTTACTTCGTGAGGTACATTTACATTCTAATACCATCTCTGTAAATGTGATATTTGTTTATAACATTTATAATAAATTATTAATATTTATATTTGTTTAAAATAAATGGATGAACAATTTTTAATTAATTACTTTATTTTGAATATTGTAATCATCATTAAAAATTAGCATAAAATAACATAAAATTTATATTTTTTTTGAATAGTTTTGCTATTCACTCCAATAAAGTTCTAATAACAATATTCTTCTTCAGACGTAATATCATTGGATACTGATTGCCATGGTATTGGATTGATCCAGCCAACATTTTTTACAATATAGCTTTCATGTCCTTTATTCAATGGGGATGGCTTAGGTTTTAAATGTACAGACCTAATCCATTCTTCAAAAACTTCATTTGCTTTTTGGCTTTTTAATTCATTTATCAATATTTTGCTCTTGCTTTCCTGCAATTCAGCTTCTTTCTTCTGTTTTGCTTCTTGCTGTTTTTTAGCTTTCCACATTTTTGTAGCTGAAACCTTCTTTTCAATTAATTCTTTGTCAGCTTCAGCTTTTTGCATGGCTTCTTTCTTTTTCATCTCCTCAATAATTTCATTGACCTTTTTCTCTTCCTTCTTTCGTGTTAACCAAGATTTGAAATTAACTTCTTGAATCTTTTTGCGTTGCAATGCCTCCTCTTTTTTCAACTCTAATTCAGTTTTTATCTTCTTCTGCTTTTCAGCTCTGCTTTTAAGTTCTTCCGCTTTGCGATCACACCAAGCTTTATAAGCAGCCTTTCTTGCTTCTTGTTTAGCTTGTCTTTCCTTTTCTAGTTCTTCCTCTTTGGCTTTATCTATTACAGAAATATCTTCGGCGGCTTTGTTTGGTTCCGCTTGATTACTTTTTGTATTTGAAAAATCTTCTGGCGAATAAACTTGTGTAATTATAGTTCTGTGCCCAAAAGTACATGGCAAATCGTCGTTATCGCTAGAGTCACATGAAGCAATGATGTTTTTCTTTTTTGTCAATTCCTTTCTTCTCATTTTCTTGAGCGTTTTTCTATCCTCTACCGTAAAAGTATCTTCACGTTTTAAATAATTGCTTTCTGCAAGTTTTTTTACCAACAGCATATGTGACTTGGGCAGTTCGTCCCCTTTTGGGCCCATATTGTCCAGACCAGTACATGATTTGACATCATTAACGTATTTCTGAACAGAATCATCAAACTTTTTAAAATCATCTTGAAGAACATTATTGGAACTTTTAAAATTCCCAGTTGAACAAACTTTTCTACCAGTTAGTTTTGCCTTCCTTTTATTTTCATTTTTCTCATCTATTGTTTTTCCCACAGTCTTTATGATTGTTTCTAGTTTATCAAGAGGATCAGGCTCACTATCTGACAGCATTGTGTATCAAAATTTAATTTTTTCATTAAAATTCTGAGAAAATAGTTGAATGAATTACTCGTTTTGATTTATAAAAAAAAAAGTTTCATAATAAACTGCTAATGATTCAAACTTTATTCATAAAATAAAAATATTATTACTGACGTATTGTTTTATTGTGACAAGTGATAAATGAAACAAAATCTTAAAACAAATATTCATCTATTATCGAATGTTCATAAAAAAAATATCGTGTAAATAGATGAAATATCAATAGTAACTAATATTGTCGCTGTTTCTTGCCAGTTGCGTGATCTTTTAGAATCATAAAGTTCAAAATGTGAATGATCACTTGCAAAAATATATTCTGTTTTGAGCATAAGGCGATATTACAAAATTTTAACAAAAAATTCTCATATATTTTATATATATAAAAATAAGTCGGGTTTTCCTTCCTGACGAAATAACTCCAGAACGCATGAACCGATTTCAACAATTTTGCATTCGTTGAAAAGGTCTCGGGCTCCGCAAGGTTTATAAGCTAAGAGAATTAGTGGTGCATGGCATCGTGCCCTAATGCAAATTGCTGGAACTTCACGCACCGTAATTAAAAATTTGAGTAATAAAAATAATCAATAATTGTTTTAAATAATTTCAAATAGATTATCTTCTATATATATGAAAATAAGTCGGGTTTTCCTTCTTGATGAAATAACTCCAGAACGCATGAATCAATTTCGACAATTTTGCATTCGTTGGAAAGGTCTCGGGCTCCGAAAGGTTTATAGCTAAGAAAATTAATTGTGCATGGCATCGTGCCTTAATGCAAGCTGCTGGAACTTCACGAACCGTAATTAAAAATTCGAGTAAAGACATTAGTGAGAATTATCAGAATTATGCTTGGTTAAGTCAACGAGCAATTCTTGCCGCAAAGAATAATGATGTACACGCACTGAATTTCACCATTCAATCAAAAATTGCTTGCAATTTGGTGACATACTAATGATTCCGACTGGTCTTCCGTTTGACTTCAAACGATTGCAATTTCCAGTTCGCCTTGCGTTCGCAATAACAAGTCGCAAGGCCAATCGCTTAGTGTTTGCGGGATAAATTTCGTACTGCTTGAACTGCATAGAGACAAAATGTCAAATCGCGTCAAAGTGCATGCTGCGCCGCCGTCTAACGGATAAGCTTATATATAGATAAACTTATTGTTAAAATCTCTATAAAATATCTGATAATTTGATGTGCATATGTATATTTTTGACCGCCAAATGGCATGTTTCTTTACTTTTTTCATTAGATCTCCGAAACCGCAAGACCTGCCTTCATGAAAATATGATCAATTCTTCATCTTGTCAATACAAGTGAAATGTTTTTTGAATTATTAAAATCGGACGCTTTTTGGCACTTTTCATCCCGTATCTTCGGAACGGCTAGATCTGCCTTCGCCAAAAACTAATCAGCACGTCTCCTTATCAATGCGAATCGAATGGTTTTTGAATTATTCAAATAGGTTGATCAGTGTTCCCGAAATCGTCGACGAAAATTTGTATCCGCACATACATGCACACACGCGCACACACACACACATACATCCATTTTTTCTAAGGTATGCCAAAATATTCAGAAACCTTTGAAACGTAAAGATATATAAAAAATTTCATTTTCGATTTTTTTGCGATTACTATAACTTGCCCTACGGGAAGTTAAAAATGCAAACAAAAAAGATGACAATTAATCCAATATTAAGCCATATCAAAATGAGTGCATTTTTCAATTCCGCACTAAAGGCAAATTTCTGAAACTTACCATACCGTAATGAAATATTCGAGGAATATTAAATATTTTCAAATAGATTATTATAAATACTGTAACATACGTCCGGTGCACACGACGCCAGTAGCAGTATCTCGTGAAACAGGATTTCTATCAAGTTTTCTGGTAAGGTGAACAAGAATTTTGCGCCAGATTTTCACTTATTTTATGATTAATAATAATTTTGTTCATTTTCAAATAGATTATTATAAATATAATATAATTATATATATAGGCCTAAAATACACTAATGCTAATAAGTGTACAAAAAGAGCGTTGAAATGAAATGTAAACAAACATATATGTATCGCATCCGATTAGGATTAATACATAACATGATTTAATCTCATATTTCTAAGAAGTAAGTAAATAGAATAATAATAATAAAAAGATAACTAGTGGGGCGCATGGCATCGTGCCTTAAGAAAAATTGCTGGAACTTGCCGTACCAATAATTATATTTTTTAAAAGATTAACATTTTTGAAAAAAAAAATTACTCTGAAAAAATTAGATTTTTGAGAAACTATAAATTTTTGACAAAAATTTACTTTTTTTTGAAAAAAAAGAAGACTTTTTGAAGTAAAATTTATTTTGAAATATTTTAGAAATTCTGAACTTTTTTTCAAAGCAATCGTACTTCTTTAATTGCATAGAGACGAAATATAAACATTGATTACGGAACCCATAGGAATGTAAACAAAATTCATACTTATTGTTAAAATCTCTATAAATAATATATAATAATTTGATGTGCATGTCTAATGATCATTTTTGACCGCCAGTTGACAAGATCTTCGAAACAGTTTAATATAATAATTATTGATTATTAAAATCAGTATCTTCAATTAATATTGTTATAAAAATATTAAAAAGGTTATGGAAAGTTTGGTAAAAGTTTTATGCAAATTTAATATTTTTAATTTCAAAAATTATTAAATTTTAAAAAATATTAAAATTTAGATTTGTTCGTAAATTTTTTTTTTTTCAATTTTCTGCAAATTTCGAAATTTTTGAAATAAAACGATTTGATTTTTTTTTAAATTTTTTGAAAATTTTAATTTTTTTTTGATATTTTAGATAAAATTACGAAAACTTGAACAAAAAATCATATTTGAATTTTTTCGAAAATTTGAATATTTTAAAATTACTGAACTGCGTTTCCCAAAAACTAATCATTTTTTTACATCGCTATATAAACGATAGCTATTCACAAAAAAACTGAACGCTTCCAAAGTCGAAGTACATAAATCAAGTATACATTGATATTTACGTGATAAAATACAGCTTTCTCATTGAACACTGAAAGTATCGGCCACAAAACAGTTTATCTTTCGCCAAATAGGACATGCTCTATTTGTGAAATACGGCAGGAATTTTCGAGGATCAGTTTCCGACGTTGCTAGGCAACAATTATAGACAGAAAATAGCTGTAAGTGGAATTCTGTCTTGAGGCAATTATGGCATCGTGCCTTAAGGCAAATTGCTGGAACTTCCCGTTGAATACTGAATGTTTTCAAATAGATTATTATAAATATTGTATCATTGTCTAATATAAAATAATAAAATAAAATCTGAAATATTTTCGATATACAAAAAACTAAAATGGAACAAAATTTTTTTTTCCAAAATCAATTATTTTGTTAAGATAAGCAGAAACTTCTTTGAATCATTCAAATCGGACGCTTAGTTCTCTCAAAAACTGCCATTTTTACATATTTAGCTCCGTATCTTCGAAATGGCTGGGCCTGCCTTTGCCAAAAACTAATAAACACTTCTCCCAATCATTACTAATTGAATGTTTTTTAGATCATTCAAATCGGATACGCCGTTCTCTCAAAAATTCGATTTCTATTTTCTGCACTCTTTGCTCTGTATCTCCGAAACGGCTGGACCTGCCTTTTCCAAAAACTAATCAGCTCTTTTCCCTATCAATAGGAATCGAATGTTTTTTGAACCATTCAAATCGGTTGATCCGTGCGCCCTAAAACGTGACGGGAAATTTGTATCCATACATACATACACACACACACACAGACACACACACACATCCATTTTTTCTGAGGTATGCCAAAACGTTCAGAAACCTTCAAAACGTCGAGAAATGTAAAAATTTTCAATTCCGATTTTCGGCCCATTACAATAACTTACCCTACGGGAAGTTAATTATGTTGAGGATACTGCCTTTGTGAATAGATAGCTTCAACGTGAAATCTGGCTCGGTTTTTCATTTTTACGATTCTTTCTAATTGGCGGGAAATATAAGGAAAAAACTAAACGAGACAAAATTCATTGTATTCAGGAATAAATTCTATTCTAGTTGAACCTTAAAAACTTAAAAAAAGTTATAATTAACCCACTTTTCAAACGATCTAAAGTGAAATTTTGTATCAAAATACATGATCTTTTTTCAAGTTGCAAAAAATTGGTAAATTTCTCATTTTTTTCTGGATTTTTTCGGTTCAACTAGAATCTATACTATTGAAAATATATATTTGTTTTGGGATTTGGTTTCGGATGAAAATTGTGACCTGCATCTTTCCCGCCAAATGACACCAAAACGCTCGTGGCGCAACGTTAAAATGCTTGTACCCGGCATGTTATGACATATATTTTAATAAAAAAGTTTGAGAAGAATGTTGAAATTATATAACAATAAATCCTGAAAGTTTCGTGTCAATTAAATATTTATTTCCTTCCTTAAAAGATCATCAAAAAAGGCATTTTTTGAAGTCTCTTCCCTCTTAAATGCTATAGCAAAAACCAATAAAAAGTATATATTGTTTTAATTGGGAAGGATTTATACTAGAATATGATAAAAAATGAAATAAGCTAAACTAAAAACTGTTTTTCAACTAAAAGTTTCTCATGCAGCTTTTTTAGAAAGACTAATGTTCTTTAAAAAAATCCATGACACTAATTAATCTGATATAGTACACACAACACAGCTATTATATAAACAAGCATGTTTTTTATAAATGTTTTGAAACTTTTGGTGTTAATGAACATACTAAACCATTAAAGTCCTATGGAAACTGGTTTAATTATAAAAATTGTTGATTTTTGAAAATTTGCTTTTAAAAAATACTCCGAGTTAACGTGTTCATTCCGTATTCGTTTTCAATGATGTGTAATAAATCCACTCGGAATACTTTTAATAACTCGTAAATTAATTTATTTTTTATTGATTAAGTCGATTATTTACACATATCGGGAAGTTCATGTAACTTGCCTCAAGGCAAAATACCATTACAAGTTTTTTTTTAAACATTTAAATAATTCGATTTTTTTTTAATCGGTTTCGTTTTATTTTCTGATTTTTGTAAATTACAAAAAATTGAATTTATTTAAATTTCAGAAAAAAACACGAAAAGTTTAAATTCCTTCAAAATTTTATAACTGCTAGACCTACTTTTCTCGAAAGCTAATTATTTCTTTGTCTTTGACACAAGCAAAATGTTTTTTTTTGAATCATTCTAATCGGATGATCCGTTCTCTCAAAAACTGCATAACAATTTTTTACTCCCTTAGCGCTACGTACGCCCACAATGGCAGGTGTATCCGTTTACATACACACACAAACATACACACATACATCAACTTTTTTTAAGATATGCCAAAATGGTTAGAAAGATTTTGAACTTAATAATATGCAAAAATTATATATATATATACTAGCAAACCCGACGAAATCCGTTTCGCCACCAGATGGTTTCGTGAGAAAGATGAAGAAATTTTTTGTTTGTTTTACATTTGAAAAGGAAAAATTTGATTTCATTATACAACAGTAATGAATTTATTTCGATTACAAAAATGAAGTGTTTTTAGTTGAACTTCTCTAAGTAAATGAAAGTGAATCCGCAAATTATCCGTTTCATGGAAGTGATCTTTGGTAAACCACATTTTTTTGTTTTTTGGTCTGACGTTAACACAAACAAAGCGGATGGTTTTCCAACTCGTGAACAGGCATCGTATAACTGCCCATGTGAAAAACAATGATTTTCTAAATAATCTATATGAAATTTATCCCGCAAACGCTAAACGATTGGCCTTGCGACTTGTTATTGCGAACGCAAAGCGAACTGGAAATTGCAATCGTTTGAAGTCAAACGGAAGACCAGTCGGAATCATTGGTATGTCACCAAATTGTCAGCATTTTTTTATTGAATGGTAAAATTCAGTGCGTGTACATCATTATTCTTTGCGGTAAGAATTGCTCGTTGACTTAACCAATTCTCACTAATGTCATTACTCGAATTTTTAATTACGGTGCGTGAAGTTCCAGCAGCGTGCATTAAGGCACGATGCCATGCACAACGAATTTTCTTAGCTATAAACCTTGCGGAGCCCGAGACCTTTCCAACGAATGCAAAATTGTCGAAATCGGTTCGCGCGTTCTGAAGTTATTTCGTCGGGAAGGAAAACCCGACTTATTTTTATATATAGAAGATATAAAAATCATTGAACCATAAATAATAATTATATTTTTTATTCTATTATAATTTTTTAAATTGTTAATTTGTTATCCGAAAAATCAATTTTAGACTTAAATCGAACTAGTTCAATAATACTAATTACTTCAGCTCTATGTAGCTTTTTTTGCCACTTTTTCATGGCCCTGCTTCTTTATAGTGGCGGCAGCTTGGGCTACCTCATGATTGATGTCTATTTCTGATTCAGCTTTCAACATTATGTTCACCTTTTTCTCTAAGAGTGCCAAGAACAATGTTATGTTGTCGGTAGATATGCAACTTGTGTCTCCCAAAAGACGTAAAATGGGTGCATTATCACAACGTATAATCCTTAAATGAAATTCAAATTATATGTAACTATTGAACATGCTCACAAAACGTTTAATACTGTATATTTTATTATTGTTATATGCAGCATTTTGTCATTTATCATTATATGTAAAGGAGCGATAAAATGATTATAGCATAAGCCCGTCACCAAAGTAATCCCAGATTGAGAAATAAAATAGTACATAGCTTTAATTCAAAATTGCATAAGCATATAACATTATATAGCAAAAAGGAACCCCTTAACAAAACAAGATTAATTTGGTAAACGTCCATCAATTTCCCACTGATCAGAATCATCATTACAATAATTAGAATCATCCAAAAAAAAAACAACGCTACAAAATAATATGGCACATATTTGTAAAAAGAACTGTGGTTTTAATACTTACAAGAAAACTTCTTCTATTCCTTTCATTAAAAACTGCAATCTGTCATCAACTTTAATTTTTTTCTCATCCACTTCAGCATTCTAACGATAATGTTAATTTGTTGTAACATAAAAAAACACAGTTAAAGTAGGAATACTTACTCTGTTTATTTTTTCTTCAAGCTTCTGTCGCAAAAGTGTTAGCGCTGGTCCTTGATTTTGTTCTCTCTGCTGATTGATGCAGTGTTGTTCACCTAATTTAAATAATACTTTAATTAGTTGATACTGTATAACTGTATGTAATAAATATATCTCAGGAATTTTTAATATGAATGGTTTACCAATTTTCTTTTTTAAATCATCAACAACCGCAGTTAGTAGTTCTACTTCCTGATTCAATTCATTAACATAGTTGAATAGAGCAAAGTTTTCTTCTTCTTGTTTAACAAACTGGGCACCAAGTTTATCCATATCTTTTTCCTTGTTGAATTCCTGAAATTATTAACAATTTGATTTAGAATATTTAAAACCAATCAATTTTAATTATATACAGTCAATATACAGTATTCCCAATATTCAATTGAGTGAAGAATGAATGCTTAATTAAAACTAGTTGGTATTGGTATTTTGCCTTGAGGCAAGTTACATAAACTACCCGATATGTGTTAATAATCGACTTAATCAATAAAAAATAAATTAATTTATGAGCGATTAAAAGTATTCCGAGTGGATCTATTACACATAATTGAAACCGAACGCGTTAACTCGGAGTATTTCCTAAAAGCAAATTTTCAAAAATCAACAATTTATATAATTGAATCAGTTTCCGCAGGACTTTAACGGTTTAGTATGTTCATTAAGACCAAGTACTACTATCGTTATACCAAGTCAATCGTCTAATTTATATTTTAACAAATCTCAAAAAACTACTCATTTTCTCAAACTTTGATGAATTTTTAAAATTAAACTACTTGTCGTTAGGCCGTAATATTACAGTAAGTTCTATAAGACCATGATGTATATCGCCAAAAAAATTTCCATGAAAATCGGCTTAAATTTTTTTTTCAACAGTTAATTACAAGAAAACGGCTCGGTAGATTTTCACCTAAAACTATTAAGTATCATTCCCAACTAATAACTTTCGAACAGTTTTCGATTTTTAAAAATTGGTTCGGTAGTATAAGCTTAAATGTGGACGAAAAGTTTAATACTTCTTTCCAAATTACAAAGAAACGGCTTGGCAGATCACCAAATGGCTTTTAAATTTCTAAAATCGGTTCAGGCGTTTTTGAGAAAACGTCGATGAAAGGTCTAATTTTGACAAATGCCAGAAAAAAGATATTAATTTTTGCAAACTTTGAAAATTTTTAAAAATTAAACGACTTGCCGTAGAGCCGTAATACTTTAGTATGATCTATAAGACCATATATGGTATCTACCGTCAAAAAAAATCATAAAAATCGTTAAAAAAATTTTTTTTAACACTTTATCACAAGAAAAAGGCCCGGCCGATCTTTACGAAAAACTAATCAGCACGATTCCCAACCAATATCTTTCGAATAGTTTTTGAATTTTCAAAATCGATTGAGAATTGTGGGCTAAAACGTGCACGAAACAATTTTCACTTTTCTGCGATTTACAAAGAAACGGTTTGGCTGATCGTCGCGCAAATAAATAAACTTGATAAACTCTAGTCCTCAACGAGATACATCAAATGACTTTTAAATTTTTGAAATCGATCCAGCCGTTTTTGAGAAAACGTCGATTTACGGCAAAAAATCTGTTCACATACACATACACACACACACATACTTTTTCCAAATTTGGTCTCATTCGATTCAGAATGAACAAACCTAAACTTTTCCTTCGGGAAGTTAATAACATTGAATTAATTGTGTCCATGGTTTGTAAAAGAAAATTTATATTTAAATTAATTATTTAAAAAATTCAAATATAATAAAGGGTCCGCTATGTAACTTATTTTTTGGCAGCCTTTTAAATGTAAGAGATCAAGACATCCATTTGAATGAATTTATATATCATTTTCAATCGAAACTTTCAAATAAAAAAAATATTTTGTAGTTTTTTATAGCATTTTTTAGAAAAAAAGTTATTTGACAGACCCTGTTCAAAAATATAGATTTTTTAAATTTTAATTATAAAAGTGTCTTTTTAAAATGGACTAATGATTTGTGAAAATAAAAATTGAAATTAGAGTTTAACTATAGGTTTGAGTAATTTGCAACTGAATGAAAACAATCTAAATTTATATTGAAATAGTGCATAATTATTACTATTATTTTTGCAATAATTTGTTTATAATTATCTGTCTTCTGTTCAGCGGCTTCTTTCAGTTTTTGCTTTTTAGCAGCTTCTCGAGCTTCGAAATCTCTCATGATTCTGCGACGTCCTTTAATTTCTAAGTAGTCTTGCAGTTTTCTATCATGGTCCAATCTTCTCTGAAGTTCACGTATTTCCTTGAAAAATGTTATTAAAACGTTGTAATATTTTACGATGTTATTAAAACATTAAATATAATAAATTTTATATCAATTACTAACGAAGCAATAGTTTTTATGTTTTTTTCTATTACCAGTGAAAATAATATATGAAATAATAAAATCTGTAAGAAAATCTATTTACTTGAGTATGCAGCAACAGATCAGCTTGGCCGCGTGCCTTCAAAGCTTGCAGTTTTCTGCAAAGTTCGTCTCGTTGATCATAAGCCGAACTACTTTGCTCAATTAAATCAGACATTTTTCGTTTACCATTTGTTAAACGATCAGCAATCTCCGACCAAGCAGTATTGAAATTTGCTCTATAATTTTATCATATTCAATAAATGTTTTGAATTAAGATAAAATGCAAAAACAAATACTAAAAACATTTAGAATAATAATGCGTTTTACTATTTATTTATTCTATTAACCAATATGTATATTTTTAAATATATTAGTTCAATAATATATATTATATTATAATCATGTAATTTATTGACTAATAGTCAAGTATATGAGTTTAAGTTTCGTAAAACTTTTCAAAATTGAAACGCCACAAGTGTTAAAAATAGATCTTGAAGGGTCATCAAAATCAATATTTATTGTCAAAACTAAAGACTGGCTTACAATGAAGTGATTCATTCAAGCAAATACATAAAGATGTTTATTTTCTTTTAAATAAAAAATCTAATGGCTTTTTTAAATACCATCGTCTCCAAAGACAAAAAATGATATTTATAATTTACGAACATCGCCACTTTTGCAGATGATATCTGCATTCTATCGAAACACAAATGCCAATCTGAACCTTAGGTTCAATGAGGTTATTTGCTGGCGGGTACAGGACTTTTAGAAATTCCTTCAGTGGGGAATTTCCTTACATAAATATAATGATTGTTAATTTATTAAATCTTGCGGCCACTTTTTTTTTCAGTCTTCGCGTTGGTACTTGTTTCAGCAGGTCTATTATTTGGAGTGTTTGGATGGTATGCGCTCTTTTGATGATATTTTGTACTTCTCTCCTTGATAACTTCCTGTATATATTTTATGTTTAGGTCTCGATGGATTGTTTCGTTGGAGACATACCAGGGCACGTTCAGTATAGCTCGTAGTATTTTGGACTGAGCTCTTTGAATTGTTTTTATATTGGACGTGCTCGCACATGCCCATAGCTCGATACCGTATGTCCATATTGGTACAATTACGGCTTTATACATTTAAATTTGGCACTGAAACATATCCGCCCGTCTCAATCAATGGGGTTCAACTACCTCAGGTTGAACATGTAAAATACCTGGGGTTTCACTTGAACAGAAGGCTTACGTGGAAAAATCATATAATGAAAAAACGTTTCCAGCTTGAAGAGAATTTCAAAAAACTTTACTGGCTGTTGGGTCCGAAGTTCAAACTATCCGCCTACAACAAGCTTCTTGTATACAAAGTCGTCTTCAAACCAATCTGGACTTACGGCCTTTCTCTCTGGGGTAGTGCCAGTCGATCTAATATAAACATCTTACAGAGAGCTCAGAATAGGATCCTGAAAAAATTACTGGAGGCTCCCAGGTGTGTACCTAATTGGCTTGTTCATCAGGACTGAAACATACAAACAATAGCGGAAAAAATTAGTAGTACTAACCGGTTAGTTATTACTAACCGGGGCCTACTAATTAGTTAAGCAATGCGTACCATCCGCCGCGACGTTGCCATTCTCGGAACAGACTCAGCAGTTTCTTCTAGTGCTACTGTGTATGCTATGGTGTATCTTTGCCACGCATACGCATCACAAAAGTTTTTGCTGATCTGGATTTCACCTCAATAGAATCTTCGTATGAATTCCGTAAAGGTCTCTTTGGACCGTTATTTCAAACGAAAACGCGTTCCACAGTCGCCAAATCTTTAAATTTTTTGACCATTATTTTGCGTTCTATTTATTGGGCATATCTTTTGCATGTGGTCACGCAGGTTATCCACAAAGTTTCTCTCGCCGTAAACACTTGTCGGTGTTATGTCCAGTAGAAGCCCAGGCAATTGCAGGGCTTCTCCATATACCATTTCCACAACAGTAGCTTTCAGATCCTTTTTCCGTTGGTAATATTTCTGTTCATCTATCACTGCTGTGACATCTTATGGCTGTTTTGAGTTCGCGGTGAAATCTTTCAACCATCCCATTGGCTTCGGGATGAACCGCCGTCGTCTTGCAATGAGTGGTGCCAAGCAGCTGATTGGGTAGACAAAATATGCGTGATTCAAACTGCATTCCCTGATCTGACGTTAGCCGCAGCTGTATACCAAATCTCGCAATCCAGTTAGAATAGAATCTACCCGATGGAAGCTGACATGCGATGCAACATCGAACCCACTTGCAGCAATCGACGTATACATACACTGCAGCATGTTATTAACTGTTAATTATTATTATTTTATTTAACTCTTAGAAATATGAGATTAGATCATGAAATTATCCTAATTAGATACGATACATATACATTTATTGTTTACATTTTAATATAATATGTAGTTTGTTTGTACACGTTGACCTTACGAGAAGAACTTGACAGTAATATGTATACGATGAAAGAAATACTGGTATTGTGTGCACCGAGCTTTAGCAATTTAGATAAAATTTTGATCTGTTGATTTCGCTAATAAAAAATTTTCGCTTTTACTAAAAACCAATTAACGCAATTTTCAATGGTTATGTTTTGAATATCGGTAATAGAATTAATTAAAATGCACCAACACTGTAGTTGATAAATTAATTATAAACTTACAAATAGCTTGTAGGTTCTAAAAGCGCAGTATATTATTCGAAACTATAATAAATTTTTGAAAGTAGACTTGGTGGTTAGTTTTTTGAGACGATCGGCCGAGCCATCTCTTTAGATTTAGCTGAAAAATGCAAAATGTTTTTCGTGAAATAAGCAAAACCAAATTTAGAAATTAAAAAAATATGTAAAAGATATATTTGGGAACGGTGCTGATTAGTTTTTGTCAAAAATCGTTTGGGTTATTTCTTCGTAATTGATTGTTGAAATTTTTTTGTGGTAATTTTTATAAAACTTTGTTTAGCGGTAGAGTTCCTGGTCTTATTAAACATACAAAAATATGAGAGGCCTACGGATGGTGGTTTAATTATAAAAAATGATCAAAACTTGGATTGATTGACTGCAGTTTTAGAAATCAAAGCATATGTACGCTGGGCGCGTGTTTTGTTTTCAATAATTTGCAATATTGGGTTTAATAGTAGAAAATAACAAGAATGTTAAAAAAATTGTTAAAAAATTAATAATCTACAATAGTATATTCCTATATAAGCTTTACAGCGACGCGGTATTCTTATAAATCATTTATAAATTAATATACTGATTTCCTATTTCCTATTCATGTAATTCAACATATATCACTGCCTTCAAATAAAAAAAATATGTACATTTATATTTCTCCAAGATATTTCTCTAAGAAAACAAATTTATATTTTTGGCAAGTTAACAAATGAAGAAGTCTTAAGAAGAGTGGGCGAAGAAAGGACTTTACTAAGCACAATCCTGAAAAAAAAGGAAACTAGATCGGATCCATTTTGCAAAAAGAGTGCCTCCTGCACGACGTCATCGAGGTTAAAATAGAAGGACTGAAAGAATTGGGGAGAAGAAGAATGCAGATGATTGAATACTTACACGAGAAGAGTAAATACAGAGAAAGTCGAAGTACAGGACCAGGAAGCATGGCAAAAGAAGTTTGGAAAGAAAAAATAATAAAAACAAATATAAAGTGATTAATGGTTATTAATCAGTGTTAATAAAATGGTAATGAAAATAATAAACAAGAGAGAATAAGAAAATCATTGATTTTGTAGTGCTCTCATTGTCTCATTTTGCATTTTTGCATTTTTTTTCACTAATTTCTACAATATTATTATAGTTTATAAAGCATTAAATTTTAAAAATTTCTGTTGACAAACTCTAAAAAGATTTATCAAAATCCGTATAACCGTTCAGGAGAAGTATCAATTTTATACATACGTACAGAAGAATTTTAAGTATAAGATTTCACCTTTCTCTTATCAAATGACTTATTTCTTCACGAAGTGTCGCATTATCAGCCACTACCGCATTATATTTCTTCACTTCGCAATCCAAAGTATCCTCCAGCTTTTTCACACTTTTCTCTTCGGCCTGGTCTCGTTCTATAAGCTGTTTTTCTGTTTTGCTGGACTTCTGTATGTTTTCAATACTTTTAGCCACCTGAAAAATAAACATATATGTATTTTGAAATCAAATCAAAATCTTTTCGTTTATATTTTTCGAAGTATAATTCATATTTATTTTTCACTAACATGCATGTTTGTAGAGTACTAATTTCTTTGGCATGTTTTTCTTTTGTGATTTCACTAAGAAAGTGTCAATTAGGGACTCGAAACGTATAAGTCGATTAAATTTATTTAAACTAGTGGGGCGCATGGCATCGTGCCAAGGCAAATTGCTGGAACTTTCCGTACCAAAAATTATTTTTTTTTAAAAAAGATTAACATTTTTGAAAAAAAATTACTCTGAAAATATTTGATTTTTGAGAAACTATACATTTTTGATAAAAATTTACTTTTTTTGAAAAAAAAAAGGATTTTGGAAGAAAAATTTATTTTGAAATATTTTGGAAATTCAGAACATTTCTTCAAAGCAATCGCACTGCTTTAATTGCATAGTGACAAAATATCGAAGCGCGTATGCTTCGCGTTGCCGTCTAACGGATAAACATTGGTACGGAACCCATAGGAATGTAAACAAAATTTATACGTATTGTTAAAATCTCTATAAAATATTTGATAATTTGATGTGCATATATCTAATGATCATTTTTGACCGCTAAATAGCATTTTTTTTACTTTTCTTACTAGATCTTCGAAACCGCTAGCCTTCATGAAAATTTGATCAGTTCTTTACCTTATTAATACAAGTAAAATGTTTTTTGAATTATTCAAATCGGACGCTCCGTTTTCTTAAAAACTGAGTTACCGTTTTTGGCTCTTTTTGCCCCATATCTTTGGAACGGCCAGACCTGCCTTTACCTAAAACTAATCAGCACGTCTCCTTATCAATACGAATCGAATGTTTTTTACGAAACGAAATCGTCGACAAAAATTTGTATCCGAACACACACATACACGCACACTCACACACACACACACACACATACACATTCTAGATCCTCCCACCACGAAGTAATGCCTAACGGCGGTTTCCGTGGGGACCAGAGGCAAGGGAAAGCGGAGGTTTTAGTCGGTATTATACCAGGGCGGTATCGAGTCCCACATACCCAGACAGAAGACCGGTCTGGGATGCGTAAAAGCATTTCCTTCGTTATACAAAAAAAAAACACACACACATAAATAGGTCACAAAATAGCAAACAACTTGCCTTAAGGCACGATGCCATGCACCCCACTAGTTGAAAAAGATTTCACGTCCTGAAAGAAGTTAAATTCAAACCTCTGCTACAATCTGCCATCCAACCGAATAAATATAACGTGTTGACGTGCATATTTGAACCAGTGTGAGGTCAACACTGAGCAGGGAGTATATGTGGGAATCACGGAGTCCATGAGTTTTTATTTCCAATAGCTCAATTTATTTTAATGGGTTAACCAATAATTTTTAGTAATATCTGTATATGTAGATTTATAAATAAATGATTTTTTGTTCATTCACGGTTAAAAAATCAATAATATTACACCACTGAGAAAGAATTTCACACCCCTAGGAAATGGCAAATGAGTCTAAATTATTTTAAAATTTCATACAAATTGGAACACGTAAAAAAAATCAGACCCAAAACGCTCTACTGACTTAAGCAAATATTCCGTATCCAATGCTAAACATAAATTTTTGACACAATAAAACTTCTAAATAATTTTTTGAATAAGTAATTCTTTTGTATAGTGATTTAGTAAAGTAAGGCAAAACACGACCGCATTAGTTGAAATTTTAACAAAATCTTTCATGCAGCTTTAGCTGCTACTCCAGAAATAACAGTTCAGCAGGATCAACCTCTGTCTTTTGATATCAAAAATAAAATTTCAGAAAAAAACAAAAACAAAACTCAAATTGCACTCATTTTCCATCGGATAAGAACGCATACAATAACTTAAGCAATAAACTAAAATTTAGATTGAAAGAAATTTCAAACCAAAACCTCAACAATTACGTATCAAAACAAAATAGATTTGATAACTCTATCTGGAAACCAATTAAAAACAAATTAAAACCACATATTCAAAATCCGCCTGTTATATGGGATGACGGCAATCATATATCTTGGGCTAGGTGTGATGCAGAACCCAGATTACTTTAATGCAGCGGGCTTAAGCTCAAATATAATTCTTTTTCAGAACTCAATGAACAGCATAAAGCTTTTTTATTAAAGATTATAATCGATGAGATTAGTAAACTGAAAAATAATAAATCTCCAGGTTATGATTTAATGATGCCAAAAATGTCGAAAGAACTGCCAAAGAAGGGACTCATCCTTCAAACGAATATATTCAACTCAATAATTAGATAAATTATTGACCAACTCTTTAAAAAACATCTCTAGTAAAAATGATACATAAAGGCGAAAAAGATCCTAATATGGTAACCTCAAATAAACCAATTAACCTTCTGCCAATTGTCTCAAAAGTGCTCGAAAAACTATCTTAACTAGCGCAAATCAGTTTGGTTTTCGCAGCCAACATTCTACAATTCAACAGTACCACAGAATCGTAAGAGTCATCAATAATACCTTCGAGACCAAACAATTCTGGTCTGCAGTCTTTCGAGGTGTAAGCCAGTCTTTTGATAAGATGTGGCACAATGGACTTTTATCGAAGATTAGATCTCTACTTGCAAGTGGTTATTATAATATTCTAGAATCTTATCTCGCCAATAGGAAATTCAAAGTACGTGTTAACACGGAAACTTCTACATCTCATCAGATTGAGGTAAGAGTTGCGCAAGGCAGTGTTTTGGCGCCATTTCTATATACACTCTTCACCAGTGATTTTTCAACTTTTTAACCACAACAGCAAGCTTTGCTGATGACATAGCAGTTCTTTCGACACATGCTGATGCATCTAAGGCTTTGCTAATTTTACAAATGAATAAAAATAAATGAGAGCAAGTCTAACCATATAACATTTATACTGAATGAGACAACATGTCCAGGAGTGCATTTTCATGGCCAATCGATTCGAAGCACTGATTGTGTCAAATACCTAGGTATGCATCTAGATCGCAGACTGACGTGGAAGAACCATATTCGCGCAAAATTACATACTATAAAAATTCGAACCGCTGAACTATACTGGCTTCTGGGACGCAAGTCAATTCTATCTATTGTCAATAAACTTCTAATGTACAAGGCAGTAATAAAACCAATATGGACTTATGGCATAGAATTGTGCCATATGCTAATGCAACTAGTGTTAGAACGATAGTATCGATACTGAGTAAGTATCGATACTTTGACTTCGATACTGAGTACTTTTGAAATCAATACTTCGGGCCGATTTTTTTGACGGTATCGATAGTTTGCGCCGATTCTACTCAAAAAGTATCGGCTATATTTTTTGACCCCACCAAAAGTTCGACCGCATTTTATGAACACCACTCATTCTCCGCTCTTCATAGATAACGAACGAAACAGGCAATAAGTTGAGTGCGATATGGTTTTTGTTAAAGAATATGAATGCCCCCAGTTCGAAGCCACTGATTAACAATAAATAAAAGAATTAGGGTTCAAGATTACTGTATATACATAATATAATTTCTGTTACTTTCGAGAACATATGTTCATCAACGATAATAAGTTTTGTATATTTTATGCAAAAATCTTGTCTGCGAAATTGCCGCGGCGTAAATGAATACTTTCGTCACAAAACAATACTATTATTTAATTATTGAGTATTCTTCCTTTTAAATTAAATTAGCCGATACTAAATTCATAAATGAATACTTTCGTCACAAAACGATACTATTTTCTAATTAATGAGTATTTTTACTTTTGAAATAAATTAGCCGATACTAAATTCATAAATAAATACTTTCGTCACAAAACGATACTATTTTCTAATTAATGAGTATTTTTCCTTTTGAAATAAATTAGCCGATACTAAATTCATAAATGAATACTTTCGTCACAAAACGATACTATTTTCTAATTAATGAGTATTTTTCCTTTTGAAATAAATTAGCCGATACTAAATTCATAAATGAATACTTTCGTCACAAAACGATACTGTTATTTAATTATTGAGTATTTTTTCTTTTGAAATAAATTAGCCGATACTAAATTCATAAATGAATACTTTCGTCACAAAACGATACTATTTTCTAATTATTGAGTATTTTTCCTTTTGAAATAAATTAGCCGACACTAATAATATAAATGAATACTTTCGTCACAAAACGATACTGTTTTATAATTATTGAGCATTTTTCTTTTAAAATAAATTAGCTCAGTTTTATTTTATCAGTGCAACGACCAGGATGCAAACAAGAAGTTAACAAAAGAACGATTTCTGTGTGAGAAAGTTATAAAGTGAATTATTACATCAGTCTGCATCGAGCATTCGTGCGATACACATCGGTAAATAAAATTATATAATTTGATAAGAGCGAGTAAGTCAGTAAGTGAACAATGGAATCCGGCCAGTACGGCCAGGAGAGTGACGACGATGACAGTGATCATCTTGATTTTGAGGATTGTGAATTGAATCCAGTTGATAATAGAATTACGTCAATAGAAGAGTTTGAATACGAAATGGATGACATTAGTGATTATGAAATAAATGATTTGGATAATAATATTAATGAAACAAAAGTTAGTGAAATTAATTTAGTTAAAAATAGTGAATATAAAAGAAGTAATAAGAAAAGTATTAAAAAGGGAGTAATAGATTTTAGAAAAAAAAGAAGATTGTTAAGTAATAAAATATTTGATAAGAATCGCGAAAAGTTAAGTGTGATAAGGAAAAAAGGTGAAATTGAAGTACAAGTTAACAAAACACGTTTAGAGAAAACTAATAATGATGGAATTAATGAAAACGATGTAAATATAAATTGGGCAAGTGAAGTAAATGAAGAAATGGATAGTAATTTAAATAATAAAACCTATGAAGAGGAGTTTTTCTATTATGATGAAAGGGACGAAGGTCCATTTGTTATATATGCAGAATCAAAAGATAAAAATTTGGGTAGACTACATCCAATGGCGTTAGGAAGAATTTTACATACAAAAGTGTCAAGTGTTAGTAATAAGATAAGTAATGTTGCAGCTATAGGTATAAATAAAATAAAAATATGTTTTA